TCAGAGCAACAAGATCAACCACGCATTTGCCTCGACAGCTTGACTCAGTAGATGCGGTTGTTGCATCACGCCTTTTATCTCCGCCCTATCCCCGGGCACATGCCCAAGTCGCAGTCATACCAAACCTACCCTTAACGGCAAAAACGACGTCCAATCTCAGTACAACCCGCCCGTTGATTGCAGTCGCATTACTTCGGACTTTCTCTGTCGGACGTACTTCCCTCTTGGGCCCACCTTGAACCCTTCTGTGGCTCACATTCGCGCCGACGGCATCGGTCGCCATCGGCGTCGGCCTTTTCTTCTCTCCTTCTTTTTCCTTCGAGTCCTCTCGTTTCGGCACAAAAAACAAAACTAAGCCCACGCCGCCTCGGCGGATTTACATCGCCACTGATGCTTTCAGGCCCCCCCTCTTCCTCTGCCCTGCCCTCCGCTCCCCGTGCTCCACCCTCCCCCCTTTGATATTTCCAACCACTTGGTCGTTTTACTGCAAAGGGAAGTGAATCTGAAAATGTGTTGATTCTAGTCGGTCAAATACGCTGCTTTTTCGGCGCTGTTCGGTCTGTAGAGTGGGTTTTTGCTGCTTGTCAACTGGGGTTGACCACGCTTACACAATGCTTGCTCAGCATAACATGTGTCTTCGTACTTTGAGTTCGGAGGTATTGGGATGGTAAAAGTCAGGAGGGGATCATTGGTCCATCCATGGTGTTGCAATACTGTTATCGTGATTCTACGTAGTCTGACTCCTATGTGGTGTTTACCTATATCATATGAACATATTGCATGATCAACCTCCATATCAAGTCTTCAGGCCCCCGATTATACCCCCAAACAACTCAATTGATTGTAACTTGATATACAAAGTCAACTCACTCATTGATCTAAAAACTAAAGCCATATCCAACATTGAGGTGTGCCAACTACTAACCATGAGCCGCATCCGCAAACCCACCTTGGCACCGACCAAGCAATCCACAAAAGAACCCCATCCTCTCTCTCCCCACATGAGAGCCTCTTCAGCCACACAAGGAGATTGAACGGGAATAACCTCTCTATTTAGTTAGCCTAACCTTCCACCACCACTTACCTCCACCTCCTGAACAACTCGCCCCAAACACCTACGACCCGGCCCGCCACCCCCCTACCCTTGAAACCTTAATCCCAAAACAAACAAACTCCATAGCCTAACACCATCCCCCTGTATATCCCACATCAAACAACTCAAACCGCACATTCGAAAATCCCTTGTTTCAATATACTTATACATTCAAGAAATCAAGGCAAAAAAAGGAAACAAATTGATGGGGGAGGGATGAAGGATTGTTGGGAAAGAGGAAGGGAAAAAAAAGTAAAACAATAAGCCCCACCCGCGTCCCTATACTCGATCATCTAGGTGTTAATTACCCGTTTGGGTAATTGTGGCGTAGCAGAATGAGGGAAAGGTGGGTCGAAAAAGGAAACAACGAGAGCAATGTATGCTACGGTTGGAGTTAATTATAGCTTATGCATCTCTCCTCTACAAAGGTAAACTTTACTATTGCAATATGTCTTGAACGTGGAAAGTTTGCAGTAAAGGACGAAATTGTCTCATCTAATCGCCACAATTCGCAGGTGATACATGTACGAGATGTCGTGCAGCAATCACCTTGCATATGTGACTTAATATGTACTTACCTGGATTTCCCCACATGTAAGTACTCTAATGCCCACGTCACACCCCCCCCCCCCCCCCAGTCTATACCATATTCCGATAAGTCATTCTCCCGGCCCACCATAATCAATCAACACTGAATCCCGTACTTCCTCAGCGTCTCCTTCGCAGTCGTAATCCTTATTCCGATTCTGTTGCACAAAAGTATTAGTCTACGCAACCATGCAACACCAACCACAAGAAAGAGTCGGAAAAGAAGAGAAAGAAAGAAAAAACGTACCTGGCATCTAAATCGTAACTCCCCCACTTGGTAACTTCATCCAACCAATCCCTACACTGTCCCAACGCCTCAATATGCTCCTCAGGATGCCCCTCTGCATCCGCCTCGCGCCAGATATTCGCCCCCATTTCGTACCGTGCACACGGCGCCGTCCAATTATCTTTCAGACCCCCCGTCAGCAGCGTGCGATCCACAGGCAGCACTTCTTTCTCAAGAAGAGCTTTGGCTTCAGCCGGCTGCCCCATATTGCGTAGCGTAGCAGCACGAAGAACATGTAGTATGGCTTTCTCATCAATACTTTCCTTGTCCCAGTGCGGGTTGGCGGAGGATTCGCTCCAGGCGAGGTTGGCGAGCGAGACGGCGAGGTGGTCGTTGCGCATGCGTTTGTAGCCGTTCCAGAAGTATATCATTTCTTCAATGGGCGAGATGCCGACGGCGTCGATGAGGCCGCACTTCCATTCTTTGGCGCGGGCTTCCCATTTTTGAATCTTGCGGCTGACGAAGACGTCAAAGGGGAGTTGGCGGGCCATGAACTTCTTTTTGCCCGTGTTGGGAATTACCTTTTTCATGATTTCTTCGGCTTTTTCGCCGTACTTCTTTGCTTCGGTGGGATTTGTCGTCTTGTTTTTTCGGTACAGCTCGATGTAGGACGCGGCGATGATGTAGTAGTATAGTCCGTGACTCCAGTTGTTCAGGGTGACGCATTTGTCAAACCCAGCGGCAGCGGCCTCGTAGTCGTGCATGTACATGTTGTTGAGACTACGTTCGAACCAGCTCAGGGCCTCGAGTTGCTTGAGCTTCGTCTCGCCCGCCTCGGCTATGAATTGAACGGCCTTTTCCAGCTCTTTCTCAGATGCCAGCACTCGTGATTCCTCAAGAAGCCACAGATGGCTCTGGGGATATCTTTCGCGCATGTAGCGGAGCAAAGCCATGCATTTCTCCTTGGGATACGCGCCCTCTCCACGTGATGGGAGAATGTCGCAGAAATTTGTAAACCCGTTTAGATATCCCATCAAGACCACACCGGCCATGGCACCATGGATGTTATCAAACTTGGTCGCCTGCCACAGCATCTTCATGCCTCGTTCTCGGTCACCCTTAAAACCGACTACCTTCAGCAAGGTAGCAAATGAGGGCGGTATAAATGAGAGAATGAGTAGTAACATCCCAAAACAAAAGTTGGATCCAGATAGAACAAACGTATCTACTGGGTGGTCGCTCAAGGAAGCAATGTCCTGGCCCTCATCGCTTAACGTGAGCCGCTCAAAATATTCGATGGCGTTCGGTATTGGAGAAGATGAGTTTTCTCCTGCTGTAGGCAGAGCCGGTGCTGAACTAGATTCCACGTCAACCCTCTTTTGAGCATTGTCTAGTTCCACTGAAGCATTCTTGTCCACAGGGACATTGATGTGACCCGTATATTCCATTGGTGTCGTAACATTCGGCCGGTCCTCTGCAGCATCCACAAATTCAAAACCATCGTCGTTGTCATCGTTTGCGCCCTTTTTTGTCTCTGGGGTGATTGTCTTAGTCTGTTTGAGATCGGATGTCGAGCCTGCGGCAGATGCGTTCGCAGATGTAGCAGCTTTGGAGTCCTGAACCTTGCTACTCTTCAAACTTGAAGGGCCTGATCCGCCTTTTAAAGAGCCACTCGACCCTGTCGAGTTGAGACTGCTTGTACTCCTCTCCTTGAGGAAGTTCTTCTCATTCTGTATCACGCCCTCCAACGCAATATAGGCTTTCCTCAGCTTGTAGAAACTCTTTATGGCCTCGGTTAAGCTCTCGTTGAGCACACCCACAACCGCACTCATCAACTGTGCTTCCGCCATGCATACCACATATTCGGTGCCTGGGGGGTATATCGACGACCGATACGAGTTTGGGTCTTTGCTAGCGCGTCGCTGTTGTTCGTAGGCTGAGTTTTCGGCTACATACAAGGCATTGGCGGCTATACTTTACGTCAGTCTAAGTCGGGAAGACCGGAAACGGGTATCTGACGAGACCTTCACGGACGATTTCCGGTTCAAATCCCAACGTTGCCCTTATGAAGACGCATACACCTGCTCCAAGCTGTAGTATGTAAGCTCGGTACTACGTGGAATATGTCTGCAAGCTGAACGTTGATACACACCTGGTGAAATGGCGAACTGCCCTTGTTAAGGTGAATTTCGGCGTTTTCGATATCGTCGGCCATGATATAGTTAACAGCTATGTTCGCACGCCATTAGTTCTGTAGGCCACGCTGCCCGAAGCAGACAATCCGTAGGATTCCTACCACCCATAGCTTCCTGAACTACCGAGCGTCAGCAACCCATTCTGCCTCACGAATACCACAAGCCTCACGCTGTGCAAACTCATCCAAAGAGTCTAGACTCTTCGAATGCCCAGGCGTGTGGCCCTTGAGCCACCCACCGACCTTGAACATGTTGGCTGAAAAGAAAGTCTGGTAGGCGGGGGGGAAGAATATCAAAGCCTCGCCAGTAGAGAAGTTGGAAAAGGGAAAACGGAGCAAAAGCTGGAGGAGGAGAAAGAGAGAGAGAGTATGGTATATTACAAGGGTCCGTGGATAGCGGGATAGCCCCAGCAAACGCGATGAGTGGGTATCTATGTATGCATTAACCTAGTAAGCCATCCAGACAAACGCGCCTAATGCGTCGGAGCTAAACGCAGTACGTCATGCTGTTTGCCGGCGGTCAGATAGGCACAGGTACAATTCGCCCGCGCAAGCCCACGCATGCTTACACCCAAGTGTCACAAATATAGCAATGGGCAGCCTAGAAAGAAGGATCTTAGTTTCTCTAGGCAGACATATCCTACCTGGGAAGCCAATCAGCGGGAACAGCTGAAAAGTCAAACTCCCACCCACGAAACGCGAACCGGGGTTGCAATGGGCATCACGTGACTGGCAGATATGCGGGTAAGTTGCCCGCCTCCGCCGCCGGCGCCGGTGCTTGAGCCGCGACTACTACTACCAAGCCCACGGAAGCACAAACATCAACGCATCCCTACCCATCGGTCCAGATACTTCGATATTACTTTGTAGCATCAATCGCCCTCCACAGATCCAGCACGATGTCCGGCTCAGCGCAAGGAAGCAACGATATGAAGAAGGCCGTAACCAGCGACTCGAAGAACGGCGAGCAACCGCTGGCACCGGAGAAGAAGCCTGCGACACAACTTGAGGAGGATGACGAGTTTGAGGACTTTCCTGTCGAAGGTAGGGCAGCAAGATAATTTGGCTATAGGATTAGCTAACGGTAGGGCCAGACTGGACAGAAGAGGAGACCCAGATCCCCAACGGCAACACACACCTGTGGGAGGAGAGCTGGGATGATGATGACACGAATGATGACTTTGCTGTACAGCTTAGGTAAGAGGTCTATGTTTGGTATTGCATAGTGCCAAAGCTGACAACATACAGGGAGGAGCTGAAGAAGCTGGGCAAATGATCAACACACCACCACGATGTTACAACACGATAGCATTCCACCGGGAAGCAGCGATGGTGGCTAATAGAGGGTGCAGCACGATGCGGTCTTAGCGGCCAGGGAATATCACAAAAGGCATCACACCATGTCTGAAGCTACAAACAAAAGACGGCAATCGAAGCATGGTTCATCAATATTGAAACCACAAAGGGCTATATAGCTACATCATCATAACTTCGAAGATATACCTTCCCTGTTCTTGAGCCACCGTTCACCTCTTTGAGTGACTGTTTTACTTACTTGACAGGGCGGAGACACCGGGCAGGTCCTTGCCCTCGAGCAGCTCAAGCGACGCGCCACCTCCAGTGGAGACATGGGAGAGCTTGTCTTCTACACCGTACTTGGCCGCCACAGTAGCTGTGTCACCACCACCGATGATGACAATCTTGCCGCTCTGCGCAGCGTCAACAGCGGCGTCGAGTGTCGCCTTGGTACCAGCGGCGAACTTGTCGAACTCGAACACACCAGCAGGACCGTTCCAGAGGATGGTCTGCGCTTCATCGATGGCCTCCTTGTAGAGCTTGATCGACTTCTCTCCACAGTCAAGACCCATCCAGCCATCTGGAATGCCGTCCTTGTCCTCGGCATAGCCAGTTTTGGCGTCCTTGTCAAACTTATCGGCAGTGATGTAGTCGACGGGCAGCACAATCTTGACGTTGTTCTTCTTCGCCTTTTCGACAAGGTCCTTGACGGTCTTGCTGCCAGCCTCGTCGAACAAGCTGTCACCAATCTTGACGCCCTCAAGAGTCTTCTTGAAGGTGAAGGACATGCCTCCGCAGATGATCAGGCTGTTGACCTTGCCAAGCAGGTTGTCGATCAATTGGATCTTGTCAGAGACCTTTGCACCACCAAGGATGGCGAGGAAAGGCCGCTTGGGCTCCTCGAGTGCTTTTGCGAAGTAATCAAGCTCCTTCTTGACAAGGAAGCCAGAGGCCTTTTGTGGAAGGTCGACACCGACCATGGAGCTGTGCGCGCGGTGAGCAGTACCGAAAGCGTCGTCTGTGAGTGGTTAGCTTTGTATTTCCTCTAACGCACTCATTATATCACTCACTGATGTAGACGTCACCCAGAGCAGTCAAGCCCTTCCTGAACTCGTCGACCTTGCTCTTGTCTACCTTTTGCTTCTTACCCTCATCGTCCTTGTAGCTGCCCTCCTCCTCAGCGTGGAAGCGTAGGTTCTCTAGCAGAATGACCTGACCACCGCTAGCACTGTTGACGGTATCCTCAACCGACTTGCCAACGCAGTCGTCAGTGAAGGTGACGCTCTTGCCGAGGAGCTTCTCTAGCTCGGCAACAACTGGCTTGAGGCTGTATTTTGCGTTTGGCTTGCCGTCTGGTCGGCCGAGATGGGACATAAGGATGACGGCTTTGGCGCCATTGTCGATAGCGTGCTTGATTGTGGGAAGTGCGCCGACTATGCGCTGGTTGTTGGTAATCTTCTTGTCGGCGTCTAGAGGGACGTTGAAGTCGACCTGGAGGTTGTCATGGTTAGATGTGACCTCTGAATTATACAAAGGATCATGAGATTCACTTACTCGGATCAGGACGCGCTTGTCCTTCAGATCGACGTCGGCGATCGATAGCTTGTTGGAGAGAGACATGACGTGTGTAGGGGGTGGTGTACTGTGATAGCGCGTCAGTGAATCTGCTGCTCTTAAGCTGTTTGAATTTGGGCGCAATTGTGAATTCGAATTGTTTTGAGGGCTCACTTACAGGAGAATATGTGGATTAAGGAAGAAGGAGAAAAGAAACGGGTGGTGTTTGGTCTGGGTTGTAGTATGTAGCTAAGCTTGGTGGGGGTGGTTGCGGCGGGGCAGTCAGTCCACAAGTTCCTCTTCTCCTGCATGCAAAGCTTCTTGCTCCTTATCGAACCACAAAAAGAAAGCCGGCGTGACTAAAGCCAAGCCTCATTAGCCAAAGTAAAATGTTTTAGCTGTCCTCGTACTGCGCAGGATGCGCGAATGAGGCTCCCCTCCCCCGCGGCCGAGAGTGACGGCTGGTTTCGGAGAGCAGTAGCTACAAGAGCTTGCAGCTCCTAGCATTTCCTTTCGCTCTCCGATGGTACATTGACGGCCCCGAGTCTCATTAACGGTCGAAACTAAACAAAGTCATTACGAAATGCCCTCATGTTAAACTAACAGTACAATACAATGGAAATAGCATTTCATTCTGATCTAGTTGACAGTTGTACACGCAAACCCTAGCTCCTATGAACAAAAGGTCGACAGACCCGACGCCACGCAAATGCCCATTCAATTGTAGAGACAAACAAAAAGGTCAAGGGCAGCAAATCAAGATCTTCATGATACAGCATATGTGTATCCATGATAGTTGTACAAGGGAAGTCTGTTTGTGTAGTGGGAGAGACTTAGGCGTCTTCGGCGGAGTTGGTCAAGGAAAGGTAAGCAGTCCAGGCAATACCTACGCTGGACACAAAAGGCTGGCAGGGTGTTAGTCTCGCCTGGGTCTTTCGAGGCTGGGCAACTTACAATTTGGTATTGAATGGGCATGACACGGAAGTTGATGATTTGCACTGCTGGCCAGACCATGTAGTTGGCCTTGAGCGCAGGCACATAGACATCCTGGAACTTACGCTGCACGGCTCGCTTACCGCCGCCCTCAGCAATTGTCATAAAGGTAAAGAATGCAGCCAGACCGGCTGGAGCGAACAGGAATTGGTCAAAAGCCACGCGCTTCAATGCCGGCATCCATGTAGCAGTCTTTGTGACGGGGAAGGTGGCGGATAGGAACCTGAACCACCTATGCTGGATGGGCGACATAAGGAAACCGTACGACATGAACCTGGTGGTGCGCTCGAAATCAAAGGGCGGCGGGAGTTTCTTCGAGTCGGGAATGAGATCGTTTTCGTTGAAAGGGTTGCGCTTGTCGAGGTCGTGAATCTCAATCGCCAGGAAGTCGTCCTTGCCTGGGCCGCCCTTCTTGCGAACGGCGCGCTCTCGCACAGCAGTCAGTGTTTGCGCTACCGTGTCCGCAATACCACCCAACACCTGGTATCACTGTCAGTTCCTGCTAGATGTATTTCTTGTAGATGTATTCGAGATTGACGTCGAAATAGATGTAGCGGTCGCATGGTTCGGAGGGGAGACTGTGTGCGACACGGGGTTCGTAATGCGCGCAAGTCTTACGGAGAGCGGAAGAGGGCACGTACGGCGTTGGTGATCATTGTGGTAAGAACTGGCCGCGCTGCATAGTACTGGTTGTACTTGCGCGTGAGCAGACTCACGGCAGCCATTTGCAAAAGAAAGACAATCGAATGGAGCAGCGGCTGGTCGCTGTCAGTAGATGGTCAGGCGGTTGTCGGCAGTGTCGCTCACAATCTTTCCGTAGATCCAGCGACTGTTTAGCTGGTAAAGCAGTCTGTGTCTGGTGCTGTTCATGGTAAGTGCTGGGTCCTGTGAAAAAGCTCTAGGTGTAGCGTTGCTCGCAGATGGCGCCCGATGACGTTGCTGAAACGCAACCGAAGGTCCGTGTGCAGCGATAAGTAGCCCTCTTCTATCTCTCAAGGCTGTATGGCACAGGCTGGGAACACTGTAGGCGGATAGGGATGCTTTTGTGAGCAGAAGAGCAGTCTATCAGTATGAGGGGGTAGAAGGCGCAGCTTGCCTGGGGTCGACGCACGAGGGTCATGGTGCAGTGGCGGAGAGTTTCACGCGCCGCGACCAATGACGGCTTTCATAGACCAAGGGACAGGCATCAACTGGAACCAGCCCAGTTCCGAGCGGCTGCGGGCTCGTTCTACAAACTTCTATTCAATACCTATGTGCGTCTGATGCCTCACCGTCTATTCACACAGGGTTCGATGGTATGGCCCGACACAGTACCGGATATCTCGGCCCACCTGCTGAGAGGGGGAAGTGATCCTGGCATTCACCAACTCCACAAATAGCATCATGGGCTGCTACAGACATGCGTTCAAGACGAGCGCAAATTCAAAATGCATTCAATCTTCAATAATGCCTGGAAAGATGACCTGGGTATAATGGCTTCTAGAACAAACTCATGGTGCCACAGCAACAACACTAGGCAAGTCGCGGATGTCTACAGCTTCGTTGGTGACCAGATCCACCACCCGTATAGACTCGACCGACAATACACCCACAGTGAGCGCGAGCAACTTGATATCAGCCGTATAGCAAGACCCAGGCGAAAGTTGTCTACGTGCAATTAGCATCCTCGGTCCGCAGCCAGCCAGCTCACGTTTACTTACCCTACGCGTATGTCTGTCGTCAAACATATCAAGTCTGCCGTCTCTGTCCTCGTACTCTTCTGCTTGGCATAAACAACATTCTCATCTGTGACGGCTGTTGCGAGTAGCTCTCTTTTTTCTACACGAGGACCGCCAACAGATGATGTAGACGGATGTGATCTGTGCTTCTTCTCACCATCTCTTGGTCGCTTTACAATGACCAAGATTGCTAGCCTTCGCGTTTTATCGGATCGGTTGACGATAAATACGTCCCACGTAAATATCTCGCCAACATGGATGCTGGGTGGCCCAGAAATCGTAAGTGTGACATTCACCTCATTACTCGAGAGCGTATGCCCGTGCTGATCTTGAGAATCGGACCCAACAAGAGCATCCGGATTAGATGCGTTTGTCGCTTGACTCATAGAGCTGGTGGGACGGTGAAAAGCCTTGGCATGGCCAGATGCTTGCTCAAATGCAAAATCCACGGGTGTTTTCCATTCAATTGCAATGTCCGGCCGGCAATCGCTAGACATGGTGACATTGGCCTCCACATTGAGGTTCAGATAGTGACCCTTAGTTCCGAGCGATGGGGTTCCATCGGGGGCAAGATCTGGCACAATCTTGTACAGATATGTCAATTGGTCGCCAGGCTTGTGGCTAACTGTTACGTCCTGTTCCGTGCTCAGCTCTTTGGTTTTGCCCCCATGTAATATAAGCTTAACATTCTTGATTCTAACGTCGTATGTAGCGAACTGGGCGACTTCTAGGTCCAAGGAAGCGATCATAGATAGATCATTCACTGATGCATGAAGTCTTGAATATCTTACTCTCCAGATGAGCGGTGGAAGTACCCTGAATATAGGCTTTTGGCCATTGCGGATAGGGCGGACCATCTCTCTTGCAACAGGAGCACTCGGCGTGACTTTGCTGATGCGCATGGCCGAAAGCCGGGGGTGAATACCGACCAGAGCTGGGTCGTTTTCAAATGACTGAAGTAAATTCAGTGGTGTGGGCACGCAGCTTGGAAGATAATCATCTTCCAGAGCATCTTCTTTGGGGTTTTCTGCAGGCTTGAAGGAAGCCGTGGGTTGAAAGTAAACTGCGGGCTTATGGAATCTGCCCTGAGGACGGGCTACTTGAAATCAGATACTGCGAGTACTTCATGATCTGCAGACCTTACCAATGAAGATATCAACCTTCCAGATGACAAAGGTATGGGCATTATCACCTTCACCATGGCACACAATGCTAGGCTCATCTGAAGGCTTGATAGTACCAGAATATATGAGTTCCTTTGGGGTTCCTGATTTGGGGTCTTGCTCAGGTGGGGGAGCAGTACTGAAGGCGAATGCTTCCACATTGACCACCAATCTTTCCAGATATCCTTTGAGGGTAGAGTCTTCCAACAGTGGCGTTCGAAAAACGACATATACAGCTAGTAGTTCATCTAAAAGCCTATGTATGAGTAAGAGACATGCATTGGATGGTAAGCTGGCGGGACATACCGAGGAGAAGCACCTGTCGCTGCTCCAGGAAAGGTAGAATAGACCCATCATCATCATCATGTCCCGCACCATTCCAAGACTCGATGGCGGTTTTGATATCGATTTCAGACTTAGCAGGAACAACCGCTTCCAGCACAGAGCTCTCAACAAATTCGAGGCTTTGGCGCGGCTGCGCTTCGGCCGTATCTGCAGCCATGGCTACGTCGAGTGAATAGCAGAGAGGGCACGTGAATCCGGTGCCTGAGCTAGGGGTCCCAGTAATCCGCGCTAGCCATAATGTCCGTGCGCCCGTGAGGTCCGTGCCACAATAAGTTGTTTCCACAGCTTCTTCGCAACCCAGCTCGACGACACGCACACGCGCGACACTCCATCACCTCTCGCCGCAGTCTCACCGCAATGAACGGATTCCCGCCTCCAATGGCGCCGTCCGGCTCTACTTGGACAAGTGCTAAAACTCCAGATGGCAGGGAATACTACTATAACACGATCACGAAGCTCACCACGTGGGAGAAGCCCGATGAGTTGAAAGACGACGTCGAGGTATGATATTTCCCATGGACTCCTTGGTCGATTTATAGCTAACTATGTGACTAGCGCGCACTCCCTGGCACCGGCTGGGCAGCCCACTGGGCAGATGGCAAGCGATACTTTGCGCATATTGAGACCAAGCAGACAACGTGGACTGTTCCCGATGTTGTTCAGCAGAAAATCGACCAGATGAGGCAGAGCCTGCCGCCCCAGCGACCTCCCCCAGTTGGTCCCTCTGGCTGGGCGGGGGGCCCACCCTCGAATGCGCCGTCGTACGAGAACAGACGCCCCGAGCGCGACGAGTACCGTCCCGACCGCCATGACCGCCGCGACGATAGAGACCGAGATCGCGAGTCTGGCTTCGCCGGCGATCGACCCAACATTAGTTTCACGGCAGGCACCGAGCTTCAGTTTTCCACGCCTCAAGAGGCCGAGGCTGCTTTCATCAAGGTGCTTAAACAGATCAAGGTCCAGCCTGACTGGTCGTGGCAGCAGGCTGTGCGCGCTGGTATTCACGACCCTAACTGGCGCGCCATACCAGAGCCCGAGAAGCGCGAGGAGGCTTTCCGGAAGTATTGCGAAGATCTGCGCGCCCAGGAAAAGCTCAAGGAGCAGGATCGCCAGGCCAAGCTGCGCTCTGATTTCACTGCAATGCTGCGTTCGCACCCGGAGATCAAATATTACACCCGCTGGAAGACTGCTCTTCCCATTATCGAAGACGAGACCATTTTCCGCTCTGCCAAGGATGACAATGAGCGAAGGACCTTGTTCGAGGAATACATCATCTCTCTCAAGAAGGCGCATGAGGAAGATGAGGAGGCGAGCAGAGAATCCGCACTCGACCAAGTCATGGGTCTGCTACAGGCACTGGATCTGGAGCCCTTTACTCGCTGGCACACGGCTGAGGAAAAGCTGGAGCGCAACGAGGAGTTCAAGAGTGAAAAGTTCAAGACTTTGACTCGCCTAGATGTCCTCGATCAATTTGAAAAGCATATCAGGCAGCTCCAGCGCGAGCATAACGATCGAGTTCAGGCCGAGCGACGCATCAAGCGCCGTATCGAGCGCAAGAACCGCGATGCGTTCATAGATCTGCTTGGTGAACTCAGGCACAAAGGCGCGCTACGTGCTGGCAGCAAATGGAAGGACATTCATGAGCTTGTCCAAGAGGATGCCCGTTACACGGCCATGCTTGGACAAAGCGGATCGTCCCCTCTTGATCTGTTCCGCGATGCTCTCGAAGAAGAAGAGAGCAAGTTCCGTACCCTCCGCCGACGGGCCTTGGATGTACTAGAGGTAAGTCTAGCTCTACACCAACATGCAATCCACTGCTAACTGTAGCCCTAGCAACAACGATTTGAGGTTACCACATCGACTCCTGTGGAAGAATTCCTAACTGTCATGCGAAAAGATCCGCGCACAGCTGATATTGACGAACAGTCCATGCACAGCATCTACAACTACGTCCTCAACAAAGTGAAGAAACGCGAGGAAGAAGAACGACGAGACGAGGAGTCCAACGAACGCTATGCCGTAGACAAGCTTCGCTCTGTTATCAAGCACCTTGATCCACCAGTGTCGGTGTCAGACGACTGGGAAGTGGTACGTCCCCGTGTTGAGAAGACAGACGAATATCGCGCACTGAAATCAGATACACTACGCGAATTGGCATTCGACAAGTACATTTCCCGATTGAAGGACAAAGAGCATGATCGTCGGGATAGGAGCAGGCGCGATGACCGCGACCGTGACAGGGATAGACGTGATCGAGATCGTGAGTATCGCAGCGGACATTCTGATTCTCACCGCCGTCATCGTACACGCACTCGCTCACCTGAACATGACCCGTACGCTGCAGAGCGTCGACGAGCAGTGCAAGATAGGGAGGCACGCTACAGAAACAGCGACAGCACGGGCCTGTCTCCTCTTCCACGTCGCGACCGCCGAGATGATGATCGGTATGAGCGCTCTCGTCGAGGTTCTCTTGGAGATCACTATGGTCGTGAGCGCCGCGAGCGTGAAGTGGAACGTGAACGATCTTACGTTAGCAGAGCCGACCCTCGTGAGGCGACTGTTAGTCTGCTCGACTACGGTGACAGCGGTGGCCGCACTTCCTCGACCCGACGCCGTCGCGACAGCGAAGAAAGCTCTAGTAGGCGCGATCGAGAGACCAAGGTACGTAAACAAGCAGTGTTACATTTGATAGGAAATGACTAACTTTTCCCAGCGTGCACGCTACTCTCCCCGTGGTACGGACCGCAAGTCCAAGACCCCCGCTCCTGAAGCGTCGTCCAAGAAGGAAGAAGAAGATCGCGCTCTCCGTAGTGGAAGCGAGGAGGGCGAGATTGAGGAAGATTAGGAGTTTTCCATCATTCACCCCTCGCGTAGGAGGTTGACCCGATATGGTCGCTTCCTGAACACTAAAGGGCCTAATCCCTTCACTCCGAGGCTTGATTACTAAGTAAGTGGGGTTCAGTACTGTCATCTCGTGAATGAGCGAGCAACATGTTCATTCCAGCAGCTACGGTCATGGTAGCACATACGCCTGTACTATAGTCCATCACATGCGTCTGTACTGTAGTTCACCACCTGCCCCTGTACTATAGTCCATCAGAAATGTAGCCTATAAAATCCCACTCCCGTACAAATTTCTGTTTAACTTCTCTCCAATTTTATGAATAATCGCGCCGATACACAGCCATCGTTAGAAAACTCAAATTCTCCGTCTGCACATGTTATTTGATTGTATCTGAACAATTTCCTCGGCCCAGCATGTGACGAAGGGTCAGGTCCGCCTATTTGTTGGTTAGTAGTCTGTATATGGATATAGTTGCGAGAGTAAAATCGATGACATTTGAGCCTTGATTCAGACCAATAATCACATGCAAGGGCCACGACAAGGACAGGGTTATCACAGCAGCTCGGTAGGGCTGTCCCAAAGGCCGGGTATGGGTACCGGAGATACACAGTAGCCAAGTATACTAATCTATAGTTGTAAGTAAGTACTCCCCTTAATATTGTTCTTGTTTCTTACATCTGCAGTTGTGAGGGGCAGGCTATGCAACGCTGATTCGTCGTCGGTCCATGACATCGCACAGGCTGTGTCAGATTCTGGGGAACCTCGGCTCATCCAAAGCTACCCCAGACTGTCCCCGCTCTCCGAACGCATAAGCACGCGTCGTTCGTAAACGACGCAGCGTAACCAACATGCACACAGGAAACGGCCTGTCATTTACACTAACGACCCAACTTTCAGTCTGAATTTCGTCTACAATCAAACCGGCACCATGTCCGCCACTGCATTTGTACCCTTTTCCGAGCCGCCGTACATTGTTGGGCTTCCGTCGCCATACTACAAGGAGACGCATCTGAGATGGCAAAAGGCGTGTCGCGCGTTTGTGGAGAAGAATTTGCTTGAGAAGGCGCTGGAATGGGATACGGCTGAGACGGTGCCAGAACATGTCTTTGAGACGTTTGCAAAGGCCAATATGCTTGTGCCTACGCTTCCAGCGCCTCTACCGGTGGAGTGGCTGAAGAAGCTGGGGATCCACGATATCCTCGGTGTGGTCAAGGTTGAGGAATGGGACTATATTCATACCATGATTTACGCTGATGAGGTACAAAAAGAGAGACTTAATTCCAAAGCGATACCTTGAAGGTGGCTGACGGAAGTGCTAGATGGCTCGATCTGGCCTCGCAGGACCCCCGGGCTCCCTCACAACGGGCATGTCATTTGGCGTACCACCTATCTACAAATTCGGCAACAAAAAGCTACAAGAGCGCTTCTTACCCGAACTATTGACGGCCAAGAAGCGGGCTTGCATTGCGATTACTGAACCCGAAGCTGGATCAGACGTCGCAAACATCACCACGACGGCTACAAAGACACCGGATGGAAAACACTACATTGTCAACGGCACCAAGAAATGGATTACAAATGGTATTTGGTCTGAGTATGCTACCATGGCCGTGAGGACCGGTGGGCCAGGACCAACAGGCTTGTCGATGCTGGTAGTGCCTCTAAAGGGATATCCGGGAGTGAACATGCGCCGACTCAAAGTCGGAGGGCAAGTTTCCGCGGGGACGACATTTATCGAGCTCGACGACGTCAAAGTGCCTGTAGAGAATCTCATTGGAGAGGAGGGAATGGGCATGAAGTACATGTAAGCATGACATTGTAACATTGCGTATGTTCTATGGCTGACTGCACGGCTTACAGAATGACCAACTTCAACCATGAGCGACTCTCCATTGCCATTGGCGCAACCCGTCAAGCTCGTGTTGCTCTTGCCGCAGCAATAGAATACGTGATGAAACGCGAAGCTTTTGGCCAGCCGCTGATCAACCAAGCCGTGGTTCGACACCGCCTTGCTAAAGCTGGTGCTTTGCTGGAATCCCAATGGACATGGGTGGAAAGCTTCGTTTACCAAATGGTACACTTGCCCAAAGCGAAGGCGGATATCGAGCTCGGAGGCTTGACAGCCATGGTCAAGGCGCAAAGCGGTATCGTTCTGAATGAGTGTGCACAAACGGCACAGTTGCTCTTTGGAGGAAATGGCTACACCAAGTCGGGACAAGGAGAGTTGGTTGAGAGTAAGTGGATACTAAGTCCGAATCACTTCGGAAATGGTTAACATAAACTACAGGAATATACCGCGAGGTTCCAGGTATCAGGATTCCGGGTGGTTCTGAGGATGTTATGCTGGATCTCGGAATCCGACAGTTGGTGAAGAACTTCCAGGCAAAGACGAAGGCCTTGGAAAGGCCACAGGGTACATCAAAGCTATAGAAGATGTAATAATAGGAGTAGTCAAAATAATTATTTTTTTTAGCCTACTTGGAATACAGAATCCTAACCCCACACTTTGTGTTTGACACTCCCGTGTTTCCGAAGCCCACGGATAACGGCTACAGCACTTTTCCGCGACTACGTCAGCACCTAAAGTCCGGCTCTTATCGGGAGGTGTGGGGCACCTGGTCAACCCCACAAGACTGCCTCCAATATACCGATGAGCATGAAGCCTGGAATCTTGATTTGTGAAGTTTATTGTCGTTGGCCGGCCCTTCTTCGATCGGATAACATGGCAGGCGGAGTCGGAGCTGAGGGTTGGCCCCGCAAGTCCGTTCCAAGATCTTGCGCTCGGCCGCTCACCGTCCCCAACGTATCCCGGTCATCGTGTGTTGCAAGCATGTGGGTGCCATGGGCAATGCAGCGTGTGTCACATAAATACGAGTTGCGCAATAGTGCCGCGTCGATGAAGGGCTACTACTCGTGCCTTACGCGACTCTAGGTACAGGCTGTGATACGGTCGTCGGCCGAGCCCTCGGTCGGCCACGGTCGTGGCGCTCAAAGACCAGACCACGTTTAGTACCCGGGTACCCTGCAGATCAAGTCACATAGCCTATTAACCCAAGCGTGTCGAGACCGGAAGGGGGCTTGACCGCTCGTGTCAGGCTGGCGAATTTTGGGTATTACCGTCGTGTCGTGTGTCTTCTTCATGGATCATGTCGTATGTGTATGTCTCAGGATAACCCCAACCATCTCGGAATGGGCCGCAGAGGATGCATAATTCGGCCAGCAGGCTGTGGAGAAACATCGCCGATATCATGAATGAAAAAAATACATATATGCAGGAGGTGCAGCAGTATGTGCCGGGGCGGAAAACGACTAGGAGCAATTTGGAAGGATGAAGGGGTTTCTGTTCAACGGGTTGGCGTGGCCCGAAACTTCCCCGAGAAGGAAAGGTGCTCCCCGCAATTTCTCGTCTCAGGAGGCGGCTTGCGATCATCCTCCACTCGTTCGTCCATTCCTGTTCGTCCAACCACGCCCCAACTGCTGGACAAAGAGCATCAGCCTTTGCTCCGAACGCCGATGGACTGCATCAAGGCCGCCCATCGTATTCTAGCCTCCGCTTGCACGTCATCAGCGGCGACCTTTTTTTTTTGCATCACGCACACACTAGCCACTCGACAGTCAGCTCCAGAATGTCGCTGGGAGCGGTCAGCTCCCACCAGACCAAGGAGCAGAGTGCGTGTAAAGTAGACACCGTGCCCGCTAACGTCCACAATGCAGGATTTTTATTGGGGTCAGCGTCGGGGGAATGGACCTGGGCGAGCAAATGGCAAAAAGGCGCAGCGCTGCTTAGACGCCTATTATGCAACTCACGTGCGCCCAAGACGGCTAGCACGCCGGCTATGGAATCCAGAGCTGTCTGGCTTGGTCATGGTAGTCTGCCCTGGGTAGACCAATGGCGCCGACCCTTGGATGTTCATTTCCGCTCCCTACCACGATGATCCCGCATCGGCCCTCGTCTCTTGCGCGACTATTCGTACCTTAACGGCACCAGACACACCCCACCTTTTTTTTGCCCTGACTCGACACGTGTTGTCAAATGCAATCGGGGTGTCGAATGTGGTCAGCGTGAGCATGGGACGGCTGTTCTGCTCGTCGACATGATGGAGAAATTAACACTTGGCATTCACAAGCCGCAGGTCATAGGGCGTGGCACCAAGCACACGCTCGGTTTTGCATGCGAACATGAACCGCGGTATCTTTTTTGCTCGAACCTCAGGATTGGGGCTTGCAGCTGACGTTGCTAAACACCTTCTGTCCCAAGAGTGGTCTTTGTCCCGATGGCTTCCGACCCCAGCGTCGACACCCTAAATCGCCAAGGATAAAGCGCCGGCCATCCGCATCTGGGGGACTGGGGTACCAGCTAACGATCCCCAGTGGGGACGGAGGCGGCGTCATGAGGGACAAATCGTACCAGGTGAAGCGCCGCTTGTCTGTGAGTCCTAGCACACGGCTTAGCCCTGGCAGTGCTATCCACTCTTGCCAAATACGACTTTATAATCTTTGCCTGCCCCCGACACCCCTCACGCGTGATCGGACTTTTCTTGACGTTTTCTTTTTTCTTTCCCCAGATACCTCCGTGTCCTGCAATACATATACCAGACGACAAGCACTCCGCAACCATGTCTGACTATTCGGCGTCGCCATCCGACCATCATAGTGATATCCACGCACCAAAACGCAAAGCTACCCAGGCAGGCCTCGATGGTCACACCACCGGTCGTTCGGTCAAGAGGAGGGCTTCCAAGGCATGTCAGTGTTGTCGAGCTCGCAAGGTGCGATGCAATGTCACAGAGCATGGCGCTCCCTGCACAAACTGCAGACTAGATGAAGTCGAATGCATTGTATCGGAGAGCAGGCGCAAAAAGTCAGTGTCACCCTTTGTTTGAATGTGGTATTTCCAAATTTCCCACCGGATGGCGACCTGCGCGGCAGTTAGAGATCGTCGGCTCCGATATGCAATGTCGTAGTGAGCACCGGCATGCAAAGTCGGCTGAGGTGTCGCTACCGCTAGCCTAGCCGCATATGGCATGTCAAGCCTGTGCAACAGTCGCGTGCAGCCAACAACTGCCGCTACGCCGTTTCTGACCTGTGCACGCCGTGCTGACTCCGGGAATAGGAAATGGAGCAAAGACGACGACCAAGGCACAGAAAGCACCACCTCTTCAGGAAATGCCACTCGCAAAATTGCGTCGCGTGACGCCCTAGACGGTTCCCAGGGACTAAACTCAGCCACATCGCGAGCGTCACATGAGGCGGAATTAAGACGAGACGAGCACGTTCCTCACTCAATATGTATGTGGGACCTAGGACAACCTTGCCTGCACAGCACTGACGCATATCCCAGACCAAAGCCATGGCCATCGTGTCAATTCCTCTGCGTCCATGTCGGATATGCGGCGCCGGCTTTCAATCACCTCGCAGATCAATAGCCTACCAAATCTACCATTCTCGCCTTTTTCAAATGAGCCTCGAGCTCCATTCTTTGGAAGCCTACCGCAAAAGCCTGCGTCTGGCGAACTTCCAAGATTTATCAAGCCTCTTCCGTCTAAAATCGGACCTGATGAGATTTCATATCTGGAGAAGAAAGGTGCCCTGAACGTGCCTAGGGGTACCCTGCGTAGCGAGATGCTGCGCGCCTACGTGGAATTTGTTCATCCATACATGCCATTACTGGACCTCCACGACTTCCTCATGATGGTAGACGGCCGAGACGAACGCAAGGGCAAAGTCAGTTTGATCTTGTTTCAAGCAGTCATGTTTGCAGGATCGGCATTTGTCGATATGGAACACCTGCGCGCTGCGGGCTATACTTCTCGCAAGGATGCCCGCAAGGACTTTTTCCAGAAGACTAGGGTAAGTTCAAAACCCCTTCTTTCACCATGCGGCTTGGCGTGTTGCAGCAGCCCAGTCGGTCCGCAACTATGGTACGGCATGCTTATACACCGACTTTCCGACGCCGTGCCAGATAATGTTGATTGGGCTACTGCAAGCTTTGTGAGATTTGAGCCCTAAGCTAACCATGTGACAGATTCTCTACGACTTTGATTACGAATCCGACCGCGTTTCGCTGGTCCAGGCACTGCTATTGCTGACGTACTACTATGAGACTCCTGATGACCAGAAAGACACCTGGCATTGGATGGGCGTTGCGACGTCAATTGCCCACACTATCGGCTTACACCGAAACCCTGATAACACTAACCTTGATAGCAAGCGCGTCAAGCTCTGGAAGCGAATATGGTGGTCAACTTACATGCGAGATCGGCTTATTGCGCTTGGCATGCGTCGACCTACAAGGATAAAGACTGAGGATTTTGATGTGCCAATGCTTACTCTGGACGATTTCGAGCTTTCACCTCTACCGGATGATGTTACATGCCTTCCAGCGGATTGTCGTATTGCCAGAGATGTGGATGTGCAAAGACAGTTGGCCATCCTGTGCATTGAAAAGGCCAGGCTGTGTTTGTGCATCTCGCATGTTCTGTCCAAGCAATACTGCGTGCTCAACAACAACCAGGGCCTTCAAAACGACCGCACAACCATGATGTTACTTCCCAAGAAGCTGGATCCTGAGACGAGCGAAGTCAAAACATGCGACGAGGATCTCCAGAGATGGGTGACAGAGCTGCCTGAAGAGGCAAAATATACAGACAAACCAAGTGGCGTTCCAGCTATTGACCTTGCACGATCACTGTTGCATATGGTCTTTTTTACTACATTGTCCGCGCTGCATCGGCCCCAAGTTCTACCAAACTCACAAGGCGGTCCAGCGAGCGCTCCAACGAAGAGCAACGTTGAACCCGAGCTCCTTGATGTTTCACGCCGCAATGTTCGCCGGGCGGCTTCAGCAATCACATCGATTGCTCAGCGGCTTGAACAAGGTGGTCTCGTCAGGTATCTGCCAACAACCGGTGTCACTGTTCTCCTTCCGGCCATTATCATCCACTTGCTTGACATCAAGGCGCCAGAAGAGGAAACACGACGATCGTCCCTACGAGGCTTTTGCCAGTGCATGGCCGTCATGGGCCAGCTGCGGGATATCTATGCCGCTGCCGACTACTCTGTGGCATTCCTCGAGGCTGCAATCCGGAAAGCGGGCATCCACGTTGCCCCTGTACCCACCCAAGCTTCACCAGTAGCCAAGAGCGCGCCCGTAAGGACGGTCGAAGAACTCGTGGACGCCGGCCGACGACTAGATCTCGTCAACGAAGCATCAACAGCCATCACATCAGCAACGTCACAAACCGTCCGCCCCTCAACTCTCACACCACCTCCCGACCACGGCACCACAAACATGCACGCTCTGGAAAAACACAACAACGAACCAAACGTAACTGACGAAGAAGTCGCCCGCCGCCTCGAAACCTTCCTCGCCTCCACACCCCCGGATTCCGACCACGAGCACATGTCTAGCATCACTATCTCGCAAGAAAGCCCCATGGTAGCCGCCACAGCAGGCCTGTCTTCACACTCTCACCATCACAGTCATCACGGTATGTCCGACATGAACAAGTGGAGTGCCTTCGACCTCAGCGCCTTCTCAAACATCAACCACCATCAAGACGACGAGATGCTCTTTTCAAGCTTACCTCTCAACAACGAATTTGACGACGGTGACTTCGACAAGCTGCTCAACATGGAAGCCGTGGGTGAATCGTATGACTTCAATGATGTGACGCTTGATTCGGGTAATGGAAACATGGGGCTTGGTGATGTCGACTGGCTTGTTGCCGCGGAATGAAGTTCTTATTGGATTGTAAGAGACCGGGAAAGCGTTGTTTTCTCCCGTTCTTTCGAGTTTTCGGCTATTTTAACGACGTTAATGCCCTTTTTTCTCTCTTTACGTTTCTTCTTGGAACAAGGATTCTGGGTTTTTTTTTAAAGAAATAGAAAGTTATGGGAAATGGAACATGAGGGAAGGGAACAAAAAGTTTACGACTTGGTTTATATATATACCCATTTCGAGGTTTTGTATTTAGGGTTAGGATTTCGACTGTATATTTCTGGGGGGTTTTTTTTCAGCTACTAGTTATTCTCGGGTATATATGAGAGGAATATTATTTCATCTTTATGCGCACTCACACACTTGCTACGTGACTTGACTCATTTGCACCTCCCTTTTCACATCCTAGCATATCTCGTTTTTTTTCTCGGATTAATTGGTTCTAAGATATATGCAAACAAACTTCTTGTCTTCTACATTATCAACGTTCGACATATTCTGTCATCAGTACTAACATCAAAAAGTACGAAATCCTCGGTATAAAAAACACGAATCTAACAATGATATTATCAAGTTACCGTTCTTTCTTCCATCCTTCCTCTCTCTTTTGACATTAAATAAGCTGTAAATAAGATCGGGAGCATGACATTTGAACGAAAAGACCAAGGTAAGTGCTCTAGCAGAGATGCGGGGAAAAGAAAAGAAAAGAAAAGAGAGAGAAAGATGACGAGCGACCCCAGCGCCCTCCCATGATGAGTCCATCCCACGATGAGTGTCCCGTCCTTCTAGCCTTTAACCAACAGTACCTCGTCGTTGTTTTTCCTCCTTGTTTTGTTGCCGGGAAGACGATTGTAATCTACTCTTCCTGAGCCCAAATCTTCTCCCTAAGGATCATACGCTCGTTCTTCTCTTCCTTCCCCCCGTTGTAAGCCTTCTTCCACGCAAAGTACTCGCCTAGTCGAATCTCAGCATAGCTAGCATAGTCAAAGTCGATGAGCGAGATTTGTGCTTGGATCAATGCCCAAATACCCCAATAGAAACCAGGGACACCACGGAACAAGTCAACCTGCTCAAACAACTGATCAAGCTCAGACTCGTTGTACGACTTGTTTTGGTGGGTACTGAAGCTGCGCAGATACTCGCGGAGAAAGGCGCGACGGGTGGTGCGTGTGGGCATAGCGTTGTAATCGCAGTCAAAACCACCCCATTCGGCAAAGTGGTTTGCAATGTCAAATGAAGCAGGTGCAGGCGTAGCATACTCGTAGTCGATAAAGGAAACACAGGCCGCCGTCTCAGGCTCGTCGGAGCAACTAGATACACTGGACCGACGAGAGGCTGAGGCGGACGACGGCGAGGGCTCGATGATCACGTTGCCTGAGAGGAGGTCGCAATGGGCGAAGACAAACGGATTGGAGCCACCGATTCCTGGCGTGTCACCAAGTATCTGCATCAGGCTTTCGAGTTCCAGCATCAGCTCATCTTTCCTCTCCGACTGGGCAGTGGTGTTGGTCGGCAAGGCAAGGATCCATTTCTGCATAGTAGTCCACAGATTCGGAATGGGTTTGCCTGGTGTGAGTGTGGCCATGGCAGCCAAAGACTCACGCTTGTTGTTTTGCGAAGTGAGTTGGGCAGGCGCAGGACATATGCTGCTAATACTCGAAATAGGTAATGTGGCATGCCATTCTCCCAACCTCTGAGCTACTCCTCGCCATACTTCTGGCCGACGCAGATCGGCAGGCGTACATACGGTGCCTTGAATGAACTTGTATAGGAGACCATTTTCAAACCGGGCGTAGAGAGCCGGGGCAAGGTTATGGCGGGCAAGTAGCGAATGAGAGCGAGCCTCCTCTAGAACCTTGTTTTAGCGCTGTACAGCATGGTACTGGCATGCACTTACTCTCGCGGTCTATGAGGACGTCGGTGTCCTTGCCATATGCGCGCAGCAAGATGGCGTCGTCTTCCACTTCGGTTTTTGATAGGCCGGGTAGCTTGTTCACCGCCTTGAGAAGCTACACCGTAGTCTTAGCCGTGCGCACATAAAGGGGCAGCAGGGGCGGTCGCGAGAGCATGCCCACGGGCAATTGCATGTGTGTACGTGTGCATACCGTGTTTGTGATTCCATCAGTGAACCTGACAAACTCAATTGTGTCCTTTGAGTCTTTCCATTCTGGGCGGAGAGCGAGAATAAGGGCGAGGGCCGAGTTGTGCGAATCCGCGTAATCGTAGTACTGCGTAATGTTGCGCAGGGTATCGTAGGGCGACTGAGATTTACTCATGGCGACGATGGGTCTGGTGCGCCGTCAGTCTTGTATGCGCAGTGCAGGATTGACATAGGCCAGCGGCGTTGATTGCATGTGAAGAAGCCAGGCCGGCAGGGGATGGAAGGCAACGGCTGGGCAGGGTTGTAGGTAGGCTTACCTGGTTATTCGAATGTGGGAGGTAGCAGAGGGGGAGAGGGCTGGGCGGCGAAAAAGGAATGAAGAGCAAAGACGAGGGCGCCGCGGTAAGGAAAGGCAGGTAAAGTCAAGTGCGGTCAATTGCTAGGCGGTGCCGCTCTGGGAAGTCGCGTAGGCGCTCTTTCCTGCCCCTGTAGCCCCGCAAAGCAGCGCCACAACTCCCGAGACCCTGTCTCCTAGCGCCACACCAGCTGGAACCCACAACTCCATACTACGTACCCACTTGTACCCTGAGACGGAGGGGTTTGCATGTCTTTCTAGTATTTTTGTCTTGTCCTTTTTTTTCCTGTAGAATAATCGTACATGTTGACGTCACTGATTTTGACGGTTGTGTGGGCTGATGTGGTGAGGACGGACTACATCCCGCTGCTTTGCCGCACCATGCACATGTGCCTGTTCCTGGCTCAACAGCCACCATGACGTCTGTAATCATCAGTCTTGCACCGCCGCCTACACCTACATCCATTCAACGCCTCGGTACATATGCAAACCCACCCATGCCCATGCCCATGTACACGTCGACTGCGGGGCCTGTCACTCGCCGTCGTACCAGTGGGAGCCTTTGATGGCCCCGATTGGTAGCTGGGAAACCACCTTCTGCATCGAGGAGATACGCACATATGTATCTTATCCATTCATCAATTCAAGTGACTTGCCATCTAAAACGCCGCGCTTAATGCGCATATAGGGTATATCCATAATATAAACACCGCCATTCCTGCTTCAAGAGCCCAGAGTCCCGTCAGTGCCGTTGTGTTATTGCACCTTTCTTCCACTGGCCTTCCGCGCTCTCCACTTGTATGAGCCAAGACCAATGTCCATGGCGCCGCTCTGTACACTCGTCAGGCCGTCAAAAGACTCCTTGCCCAACGTAACCACCTTGACTGCATTACCGAATCCCACTGCAATACTGCGCTTGCCCAGCTTGACAATCGGACCAGGTGCTGCCACAAACAACTCATCTTCATACGACTCGGTCGCTGCATCATCCACGTCGTCGGGCACCAATGGTCTCGAGCGAAAGTCGCCCGCTGTTGACAGTGTCCAAACCTCCCATGCGTCAGAATCTTCAAACGAGCTATCCATCGGGTCTATCTTAGTCGACGTTGCGTCCCCGACTCTTGATAGGTTCACGTACCCCTGGCGTTGAGCACGCTGCTTCAATGCAGACGCAAGCGCCACTGCATCAACGCCTGGGTAGTTCTCTTCCGCCCCTGAATGGGTCGATGATGGCGTAGCCAATTGTGCGCGTCTTCTGACTCCAATCACGCTCTGCGTCTCTGTCGACTCCCACGCCCCAGCGGGTTCGACAGAATAGACCGCTTCCTTTGCGCATTCGAGACCACGACATTTGTGTTTTTCCCGGTCTAGCGGCTTTCCAAGGCAAATTTGTGAAGTAGTCTTGTCGCTCAGACTGAAGGTCTGCATCACCATGTGGTTTGCACTGTGCTCTGCATATGCCACAGAGAGTGAGTTGACTGCAGGGGCACCGCATTGACACACGCGTCGTACAGAGTGGAGCACTCTGAACGAGTGTGGACGCACATGGCCAATTTGGAATGCGTGCACCAGAGCGCGGCTGGAAAAGTCAAAAATCTCCGCCTCTTCATCGCGAAGCGCGAACATGACCCCAAGACTAGGAACCGCGTATATACACCGTATCTTTGCAGGATTGCTACCAGGAGGTGGGCCTGGATCCAGACCTGCAACCACTTCTGACGTGTAGTTATCCTCCTGCTTGAGTGACAATATGTGCACTTCACCAGCCTTGGTCACAAAGACTAGGCTAGTATCCCCCTTGTCTGAGGTGTAGATTGAGCTGCACACGATTGAACTGGTGGCAATACGCCTGGTGTGGTGGATGCCTGTGCGTGCTTCCAGCTTCGTCAAGTGTCCATCTGGGCTGACAATGATGAGGTATAGCCTCTCTGCATCCGTCCGCGTTCTTAGCGTAACAAAGCTGAACCGTATTGGCGCCTGTCCCCGAATGTCGATTAGCGGGAACATAAGAAACCGCGATGCAGGGATATCCCATAGACCAATCTGTCCAGTTTGCCCGCATATCGCTAGCATGCTTCCACCGTCGTCGATAGCGGTAGCATAGATGGGCCAAAGTCTCGGCTTCATCGACGCCGTCTGTAAGGTAGTATGCAGGTAGCCCCCGCGGCCATGTAGCCATATCGCAGTACTCCTATCCAGCGATACACTTGCAAGATGGCCTTTTGGACAACCAGCTAACTGGACAACATCCAAGTTTTGTGGCGTTGGCAGTGTCTTTACTGAAAACTCTGTTTCTACATCATCGTTCTCCTCTGTACCAATTGGAAGACCCGTCCAGAGAAGGTAGTTCATAAACAAGGCTACAATGGCAATGAGGGTAACAGTAATCAAAGCTGCTGGGAAAGCATGTCCATGTGCAAAGCGGCGAATCCCTTCTACGAAGGACGAGGGTGGTTGCGGCCGGTCACGTCCTTGTGCTTCCTTGGAGACGACCAGTATGGGGTTGTATATGCGAGCTACAAATGTTTGGGCTCCAGGTTTGATGAAACCAAACAGTTCTCGAGCCGTATTGTGGTCTTGGAGCCGAAGCCAATCAGCGGGGGTCCTAGCCTGGTTGATTGGCGGCTGGCTCCAGCTCGTGTCGATGGAACGCTTCCGCCTTCTCGAAGTGAAACTTTGCCGAAGCGTGTTGAAGGACAGCGGTTTGTCACCGCTGTCGAAGAAATGCCAATTGACGGCAAGAATGATAGAGAAAATGGCTACAGTCCCTGCGAAGCGTGTGCTCAGCGGCAGCGTGCCCTCTCGCAGAGCATCAAGCCAGGATTGACGTTCGGCCTGTTTGTTCTTGGTGCTTTGGCGGAGATTAATGCGATCCAACGAGTCGGAGAGTTCCATCCTCTGCACGTCAACGCTAAGAACAGCAACAAAGAAGGTCAAATGAAAAACGAGGTCGAATACGAGCGTGACGGCTGCGAAAACGCAAAAATCGGCGACCCAGGGCGTGACGAGCCGGGAGCAGAAGTACAATAGTGCGAGGTTTTGAAACGCAATGGCAATAGACAGATGGCCAACCTCACCGAGTGCATTGCCGATGCGCTGGTGAGGAGGCATCTCTGGCGGTGTTTCCAGTACAACATTAATCAAACGAAATCTGGCAGTCAGTTAGTAATTGCTATTGCACCCAGCCCCACTCATGAACGTACATATTTCCAAGACCGAAACAAAAAACTACTACAGGAAACCATGGTCGGGGGATCCGTGCCAAATCGATTCCAAGATATGTACAAAGAGTAAAACTAGCGATTACACACACGGCCATCTAGTTGGGGGGGTTAGCAGCAAAAGATAGTGGTGCAGAGACCGCCTACCTTCATATAGATGGTGATGAGCAAGCCAAACCAGCTTTTGACTGCTCGCAACTGCTTCATTCTCGTTGTCACGTAGACTGCGGTAATAAGATAGGAAGCCGCTAAAAATAGGTCGTCATTCAGAGTCATGGGCTTGAATCTGAACTCGAATAGTCGGCTGTGGGTAACCTGACCGTCGTGGGGGAATACGGTCCAATCGGCGGATATTTCCTCGGCCAGAGTGCGTGCTCTCGCATTCCATGTAGCCCCTAATCTTGAACTGTTCTGATCGAAAAGTGTAATGACCAGTGCATCAGCAGCACGAAGCTTGGTGTTGGAGAAAGATTTTCCGGCAAAAACCGTGCTGGGTCGCAGCGTGATGTTGCGGGGCGTGCGCATGCGTGTGTGTGTGTTGATGGTGCCGAGTAAGTCGCCATCGTCATCTAGGGCGCTCCGAGAACAGTTCCAGTACATTAAAGGCGAGTGCCATGTCCATTTTTCCTCTGGTCCGGCAGTCATGCAGCCTGGAGTGGTGCTGGCGAGGGTGTTTCGGAGGGTATTTGCATCGTCGTCAGCATCTTTGTTGAAGCCGCTGTTGATAAGGGCTTCCTGAACATGCAGAGCCTGGCGTAGCACGGGCAATTCGATGGCCTTCATATAGTCGCCATGGATCCAAACCTGGCGCACAACGACATCGGGGATACGCTCTCCCTCGACTTGGGTGGTGGAAGTCCAGACATGCTTGGGCAGATTGCGGAGACCGGCAGCGGCGGAACTGTCCGCCTGGAAGACAGCCTGGTAGCAGAGGAGGACGGAGATGATAATGGTCACGAAGATGGAGAGCAGCCAATGGCGGGCAGTGGCGGTGCCATGGGCCTGGAATGCGCGGCGGATGGGGTGCGATGTGGATAGGCGTGGTGGCTCAGTCGTACTGCGAGACGGGCATTTAGCATGGCATGGCCTCGGACGCGTATGTACTACATGGATGGGCTGGACGGGGGATGCAGGCTACTACTCACCCACGCAGCGGATAGAGGAGATACCAGATCATTCGGGTTCGCGGGGCCTCGCAAAGGGCATGCCCGGGCTAGAAGTCGACGACGGCGAGGCCTCACTCAGCTGTGGAAGGGTGCGAGGTTCGAGCGCCCCGTTCATCGGTCGGGGATGGGGCGCGGCACGAGGGAGCAGGACCAAGACCAGGGAGGATTACGAGGCAGCGAGCAGAGGGCGTGGGGACATGCGTAGCAGCAGTAGCAGCAGTAGCAGCAGCAGCAGACAGAGGGCGATGGCGCGGCTTCAGTCGTTCTCTTCGTGGGGACATTGAGGGGTGGTCGCGACGAGCATTATTGACTATCCGTGGCGCTCGCGCGGTTCCGGCAACCTTCTGCTCGTTGCCAAGCGCTGGCCATGTCTCATCGCCTCGATCGCTGCTTGGTGTTACAACGACAAGCGCCATCGCCAATGGGCTCCCTTGCTTGCCTTTTTGCGCCTTTGCCCAAGCCCTCTGCACACATGCACATGCGCTGCCCTTTTGCCCTTAACAGCGAATCCAGAGCTCCTCGGACCCACGCCTGGACCATGCCGCCCACACCCACTCCCGCTGATCGGGGCGCGTCGAGCCCGAAGAAGCAATGCAGTCTGCTTTCGTCTATCTGTGAATTTCATCCTGTCGTCGCTACACTGACAGCTACCCCGGTCGCCTGCTGCTTCCTGCCTGCAGGGACCAGGGCACACCAAGGCACACCAAGGCCCTGGATGGATGCTGACACCCAGGCTTAGTCTACATACGTACTGGTACATCAACATACTTTCTACCCTCTTGCCTCCCTCACTGCGGGCGGGGCATGTCTAAAGAGAAAAATGCGCTTAGAACACATGTCCGCCGTGTCAGCTTATGCTCGGCCTAACTTAGAAATCCTCCGTCTCGGGAACGGAACGCCTCCACCGTCGTGTCCGTCGTATAGCAAACTGCGATGCATCGTCGTGTCCAGCCCTCACCATAGCCACTGTCAACAGCCACTGCCCATAGTCGCTGGCTCTTGTACATCCCATCTCCTCGTGGTCTACCAAAACTTCATGTCTCGTCCATGTCCTCGTCCTCGTCACCGTCGTCCTCTTCCCATTCGTCCTCTTCCTCCTCAGCGCCGGTAGAAGGACCGAGTACATCGTTCAATTCTCTCAGGAGCTCGTCGGCATGTTCTTTCAATCGCTCATCCTCGTACTCTAGCATAGCGTAAAGTTTGAGGCAATTCTCCAGCCAGTCCCGACTAGCACGCAGTAGTGATGTCGTGACCTTTTCCTCTCCCTTGGCTTTTTGCTTTCCCGCCAGCAAATGCAAGCACCAGCCGCCCAGATACCACGCCTCGACACTGCCGTCGTTCTCCCCCACTAACCGCTCCAGAACCTCAATCGCCTCGTCTTCCATTTCCGCCTCCATCAGCAAACGGGACAGACTAATGCGAAGAGAGTAATCGGGAACCTTGGCGTCATCCGGGTCCAGGTCCTTCCACAGCTCCATGCTTCTTCTCAGTGCGGATCTTGCCTCATCGGGTTTCAATTGCGAAATTCGGATGGACGCGAGTGTCTGCAGAGGCTCCGGATTCTCTGGCGCAAAAAGAAGTGCTTCGGTGACTGCGGCGTCGCATCTTGCTTCTGCGTCTTCTTCCCATGACAAATCCGTCATGTAGACTTCAGCAATACCACATAGCGAGTTTGCAATCTTCTGCCTCTTTTCCTCCACCAACTCTGCAATTTCGTTGTTCTTCCCCGTCTTGCCTTCCAGTCCACCAATTTCCCTCTTGAGCACCTCAATGCCCTTTTCAAACCATCGTACACTCTCTGCACCACCCTCTTCGTTTAATTGTGCCATCCATAGAAACTTCTCTGCTCCATCGTGTGCGCCTTCGGGATCGATGATAATGGCGGCTTGGAATGCTTCGCGCGCAGAATCTGGGTCGCCTAACTCTACGTTGATTTCGCCGAGGAGGTTCAATGCGGGTAGCGCGGCGGCCGAAGGCTTCGAGCTACCAGGCTGAACCAAGTTGAGCGCTCTTTGTGCGGCAACGAGCGCTTCCTCTGGCTGTGATGTTTGGAGAAGAGTAGCCGCCTGTATTAAGAGGTCTTCAGCCGAAACTTTTGGTTTCGATGCGCCGGATTTCACGTTAGACTTTGCGCTCTTCTTTCCCTTGCGGTCCGCTGGCTTTGTCTTCGCCATTTTCACAAGATCTTGTTTCGGTGTCGAGGTGTGTGTGAAATTGTTTGCAAGTCGGCAAACTGATCCAAAAATTATTTCTCGAACATCGGGCAGTCGGGGCTAGTGACGTGGGGGAAAAGAGCGGACATGCGCCCCACCAAACCGCAAGCCTCAGCGTCAACTTGCAAGTGTTGCCCGGCGTCGGCACTCTTGCAGTCCGCACACATACTTATTCGTCATGGGTGTCGAAGAACAGAAAGAGGAACGCGAAGTCCTCGAGTCAATCTTCGCAGACGAAATCACAGGTACGCAACTATCGTCGTCGCGCCCGAAAAATAGCCACCGTACCCCAAGTAAATATACTAACAATGCCCTCCAGACGTTTCCGAGACAGAGTTCCGAGTCGCCGTCCAACTCGACGACGGACGCCATGAAGACGAAGAGCGCGAAGATGACCAACGTATGCGCAGGCAGTCTCATATCTGAAAACCACACACAAGTTTACTAAAAGAAAACTCCCAGCAATCATCATCCTCAACGTCTCGTACCCACCCAACTACCCCGACGAAGCCCCCCGCCTCGACATAACGCAACCCCCCAACGCCCCCAAACACCCCTACCTCGACATCCACGAAGACAAGCAGCGCCTCCTCGACTCGCTCTCCGAAACCATTGAGGAAAACCTCGGCATGGCCATGATCTTCACGCTCGTCACCGTCCTCAAGGACAGCGCCGAACTCCTCATTACGGAGCGCCAGAACGCCAAGCAGGCGCTGGCGGATATGGCAGCAGCCAAGGCGGAAGAGGAGGAGAACAAAAAGTTCCAGGGTGAGGCGGTTACGCGGGAGAGCTTTTTGGCGTGGAGGGAGAGGTTTCGGGCGGAGATGGCGGAGGAGAAGAGGAGGAAGGAGGAAGAGAAGGAGTTGGAGGATAAGAAGAAGAGGATTGTCAAGGAGGAGAAGAAGTTGACGGGTAAGGAGTTGTGGCAGCAGGGCTTGGTTGGGAAGGGTGACGATGATGATGACGACAATATTGATGAGGTTGATGTCGGGAAACTCAAGATTGAGGCGACATCATAATGTGCATTTGCGCAACTTTGCGCCTCAGAATCTGAGTGTGCACACAGTTGCATAGCCAGACTACACTATCAAAGTTTTGGCTTGATCACCTGTATCGGGCGCCTTCTTCCCCCCCTCACAATCGTCTGTCCCTCTTCCAGTGCCATTTTCGTCTCCAAGTCCACAATATTCTGCATCTTCTTTGTAATCTCCCTATCCTTGCGCATCTCCTTTGCATGCGCTTCCTGATTTCCCCGCTCCGATTGTCTAATCGCATCTGTCCACTTGACACCGTCCTCGCGCGTCTCCAATTGCGCATTGATCAGCGTATCCCACTCATCCTCCTGTTGGCACATGGGCAACCACCAGTTGCTCAATAGCACCTTCGTGTCGAAAAGCTGAATCTTGCGTTGTAGTCGCTGACGGAGGACACGGCTCAGAGCTGGAGGCTGAGGCTTTGTGAGGCGGAGAAAGGGGATTCCGTTCGCGGAAGACATTATGGGGACATGGCGGGGGCCCGAGGTCTTTGCGTATGGGCGGACATTCAAGACAGCCTTCTCTGGGGGGAGACACGCGAGTCGTTCTTTAGGCTCCTTGGATGATTCATCTTCAGTTCTCCTCACTGGAGGAGCGCGTATCAGAGCGCGTGGTAGCTGAGCCACCATTCGTGTCAGTATGCTCGTGCTAGCTGCATCGCCCGCCGTCGAGGCATCGAGATGGTCCAACGTCTACATCTTGTCAATTGCGGACAGACACATGTCCAAAAAAGACAAATTCACCTCATAGCCAGCCTTGAAGCTCAACCCCAGTTGGTATGGGCTTTGTATCTTCCGGTTCCGTCGAAATTTGTTGCGCACGGCGTTGCGGAGGGAGACGCGGTCGTCATCGGGGAGGGGAGCAGACGAACATCGTAAAAGCAGGGCCCGGTAAAGAGCAATTGCTGATTAGAATGTTAGAATCTATGCGGATAATTCTTCTTCAATGGAATCACCTGCTACACGATGTTGTGTCGACTTTTTAGGCTCGAGGAAGCGGGGCATGCATGGGGATTGCTCGCGGCGGAGGTTTCCAGGTCGGAGTTGCGACGCGAGATATTTCGACTATGACACATGATCACGTGTCAGTTTTGCAGTGCTCTACATACACAGCATTCGAGCAGACGCCGTGACTCATCACTAATTCCCGTATAATACTAAATTCTTCGGCTGCTTTTTAATGTTAGCCCTAGAGCGGCTTGAGTTAAAAAAAATCACGTGCATATCCTCTCAGCCTGCTTGGGCAATGTGTAGTCATGCAAGCACATCACAGGTCCCAGTATGAATGATCAAACATAGAGCAAGTGGAGCCATGTGTCAATAAAATATGTATATCATTTATAGTCGTGGTCAATTGCCTAGACTATGAGTTCATCTGGCAGACCAAAACTCCGTACCATGCACCTTCACGTTGTCTCGTCGTACATTGAGATTTAGCATACAGTCACACGTCTGTTTGAACTGCTTTCTCAGGAAAGTTGGCGTGCATAAGCACGGCTAGAAAGTCGTTCCTTCAGGAGGCTGTGGGAGCTTCTTGTTCTGAGGAAGCGCCATGTACCTGATACATTATATGGTTAGCGGTAGACTTATCTGTTAGTTAATGTCCGTACCTTCGAAGCTCGATGAGTATGGTCTCCATGGTAAACTCACGTTTCCACTGGGCCAGGCAGGGCAGCTTTGTGGGATCGACCTAGCCTTGTCAGTACGCACTCTTCCATGCTCAGCTTGCAGGGTCATACCTTTCCGTTCTGAGGGTTGACGCAGGGTAGGTTGATCTTGGACGTGAACTTGATGTCCGGGGGTGTGTCAGGGTACTCTGCGCCGCAGTGGATCGACACGCTGTAAATGCGGTTCTCGTGGACACTCTGGGGATTTCTGTCAACATGCGACTAGATACAGGGGAGGAGAGGCGCATACATGGGGTGGACCTAGTATGGTGCCGTTCCAGTCTGACATCAACAGATCGTCTCCGTTATCCAGGCCATATGAGCAGGCCTCTGTCTATTCTCAGCAATGCGTTCTCCACGGCCAAGTGGCAAGTCTACCGTACCAGCACCAAGCCCCTTCTCACCCTTCTCCAGCTCTTCCAGCAGACGAAAGTTTCGCGGAACCTTGGCACCCATTGTTGTAGTGCTGGTGCGAGAGTAATGATGTGAAGCGTGGCGCGTGAGGAAGTGGGATGGACGGACCCCGCTCAAGAGGTAGGGTATTGGACGGCGGTGGCTTTGGGCGAGGTTGCAAGATGCGATTCAAAGTGGCTGCTGGTGACGCGCGCAAGTCTCTATCAAGCAATGTACCGCCAGGCGCAATTCTTTGCAAGGCTATCGGGTGACCAGCTGATTGCTCTGCTGCTTGTCTCAAGATGCTGGTCGGGATCGACTAGTGCCGACGATATGACGAGGTTGCCGCCGACCAGGGTCTCACCTAGCACCTGCATTGGTCCATCGCTTGGCCACGTCCGCTACGCGACATCTATACGTTGCCTCTCATAGTCGGCCAAACTACATCAACAACCATATCCTGCATTTCAAAGTCGCTCCTTTGCTAGCAAAATTCGCCCAGATGCTTCGGGTCATTCGCATAGTATGACGGCTCAAATTTTGGCAGCTGAACTCGGGAACCTCATCCAGGACTCCAAGCGCAAGAATACCGAACTCCGAAATGCTGCAGAGGCAGCCCTTAAGGATCTCAAGTCGCTCTCTAATACCTCCGAGGCTCAGCTCTCAGCTGGTGAGCTAGATTGTTGCCCGTCAGTTGATTATGTGTTGACCGCGTCCAAGATCTGTCCCGCCGTCCTCATTTCATCTCACCTTTTTTGATAGCTTGCAGTACTCACAATGCCAAATTCGCATCAACCGGGGTCTCGTGTTTGCAGAGACTTAGCGTTTCGCGCGCTTTGCCACGGGAAAGACTGACAGAAATCCTGGATGCTTTTCGTGAGTCGGTACCATCAAGTAGAGCTTGCCCACTCCCGGAACCCTATGCGCTCAGCTGATGTGACTAGGCCACGACATCCAATTGAAGATACTACAAGCATTACCCTCTCTGCTCCAAAACTACCCTTCGGAAATTCGGGGCGATTCGCTTTCATCTGTTCTTCAAATATGCTCAAGTCTGCAAAACGCAAAGAACTTTGCAGTAAGCAATACGGCTGCCGCAACATTGCAACAGCTTGTCATTGTTGTGTATGATAGAGTCGCTTCCGAAGATGGTACGGTCTAGCCATCTCTACAGCCGTTTATCATGTACTGACCTCTTGCCAAGAGAAAGCACTGGAAATCCCCACCGTGACCGAGGTAAAAGGTGACGATGGCCAAGTATCAGTTAGACCAGCAGCGAATGATGCTTACAAGGTTTGCATGGCCTCCACGTTGTTCTGATCTTGCTAAACATGGCTAGATGTTTACCGATCTCATTTCACTGATCGTAGGAGAAAAACCCGTGTATATGCGATTCGCTTCGCTGCCACCGTCTTCAATACTTGAGCTCATCGAGGCAGTACTGTCAAATCACAACGAAATCATGACGACACACCCAGAGCAAATACACATCTTGCGGGCCCAACTCATGCCCCTCATCATTCGCTCTTTGTCTGACCGACTATCATTTCCAGTGACTGTGCGCATCATTCGGATACTACATCTGATTATTCGGTATCATCTTGATATACTTCCCTCGGAATGCGAGATTGCACTCGGTCTTTTGAATCATATGCTTGATCCAGAGGCCTCTCAGGCATGGAAGAGAGCACTCTGCCTAGAGGTATTTCGCAGTATCTACGCCGATTCTAAGCTTCTTTTGGCCATCTATGCGCTATTTGACGCGAAAAGCGAGAAGAAGAATGTTTTTGGTGATAATTTGGCGGCTTTTGTACGGCTTGCCGCCGAAAAGCCTACACTCATTGGCCTTGGTCAGCAATCAACAGCCGTCCTTGGAGCCGAAGACGGAAAACTAGCGCTGTCAGACCATGCTGTCGCAGAAGCAGGTGCTCTGGCCGGCGTCATAGGCGGCCCTGTGAGTGACAGTAGCAGCGGTGCTCGTCCTTTTGGAATCAGCACACAATGGAGCGCTCTTAAAACTCCTTGTATTGAACACCTTGACAAGTCCGACCCGCCTGTCTTACCAGACACCTATATCTATAGCCTGGTGCTGACATGCATCACCAACATTTCCGAGAGTCTGGCTAAGTTTGTCCTTCCTCTTACCGTACACCACGAAGGTCGAACCCGGAGGAAGAACAAAACTGATGACTCGAACGAGCCTGATACAGACGTTGCATTGTCAAATGAAGGTTCCAGTCGGCTTTCAAGAACCCAATCTTTCCGCAAAAAAACTATACCTGTAAATCCTCTTGACCTTACAGAGCACTCCGCCTACGCCTCTGTGCAGACGTCGACAAGCTTGGTTACGGAATGCTGGCCAGCGGTGCTTGCTACCTGCTCGACTTTTCTTAACGCCGCGCTTGACAACGACTATTACCGTGCCCTGGTTCGGTCCATACAAAAGATCACACAGGTCGCTGGCCTTCTTAGACTTTCGACACCACGGGATGCATTTTTAACAACATTGGGCAAAGCAGCAGTGCCATCAAACCTGTTGCTAGCGAATGTAGCGCCCACAAACTCAGCTTCAGCTGACAAGCCAGGGATTTTCTCTAATGCCAAAGCCATACTAAGCGTAGACAGTTTTGTGAGTCAAAGCTCTTCAATGTCAGCAGACAAACATAGAGGCTCCCAAAACGAGTCAGCAATACCTGCTTTAACTCCTCGTAATCTGCTGTGTTTGAGGGCTTTGCTCAATCTGGCAATCGCGTTGGGACCGACCCTCAATTCCGCCTGGTCGATTGTTTTTGAGACGCTACAAGTAGCCGACTTGGTTATGGCGTTTACAAGTCAAACAGGCAGTCGCGGGTCTGGGCCTGGACACGGAGATGGGAGTACCGAGAAGCTGGAAGCAGAAACCTCAGCTGTACAGGCAGCAGCTCGCAGACTGTTTGAGAGCACCGTTGATTTCCCCAATGAATCATTTTCAGAAGTGCTGCAAGCCTTGTGTTCCCTTCTGAACAGTGTGGCTCCAGAGAGTGGTCAAAGGACACCTGCATCTTATAGTCGTCCTCAGATTATGCATCAGCGGCGTCTTGGTAGTGTTTCCGGGATTTCTCTAAATACCGAAACAAACCCTCGCGATTCAGCATTTGCTTTGAACAAGATTGGAGAGCTCGCAACTTTGAATGAGAGCAGGTTGGCCCAGTACGATCCTGCAGAAAGCGGATGGAACATCCTTGTCAAGGAAGTTGTACAGTTTTCTACTGATAGCCGGAAAGCGACAACTACAAGGCTGCTTGCCGCTGACATTCTAGCAAGGACTGTTCGAGACATTGCTGAGCTATCCATGTCCGATGAGCAACGTGAGGAAATCCAGGCTCGCATACTTACCGCACTACAGAAACAGATTGCAGACCTCTATCACTACGATGGAGCTAACAAGGAGACCATTAGTGATGCCGACATGCGGGTTCACCAAGTTGCTCTTGAAGCACTCAAAAGTGTGATTGAGCAATGCGGCGAGTCACTAGTTGCTGGATGGGCTTCCGTCATCGAGAGCTTGATGAGTGTATTTGTACCCGACCAATCCTCTCTTCGAGAACCAAAACACGAGAACGAAAAGTCCCAAGCCGATAAACGGCTGGATAGCGCTCCAGAGGTTATTTCGAGATCTCTTGCCAGATCCGCCTTTGCAACAGTCAGCCTTATATGCTCGGATTTCATGACTGCCGTTCCAGATGCTTGTCTGTCCACTCTATTGGAGCTTTTGCGCAGGCTTTGTTCTCAACAAGAGGACTTGAATATGTCTCTAACCGTGAGTTGATGACATGTGTATATGTTTCACCTCTAACATTATGCAGGCGATCACCTTCTTCTGGAATGTATCAGACTACTTGCAATCCAAGGCTGACCTGTCTTCACTCCCAGAAATCGTTGGAGAGACTGATGACACCAAACTTATCGTTTCCAGTCACTCACAGAATGGAGCAACTTCGGCCCTGTGGCTCCAGGTTCTATTAAACCTTTCTTCCATTACCATCGACGAACGTATTGAAGTACGGAATTCTGCAATCCAAACGATCCAGAGGATATTTGAGAACTGCTCCGACCAGTTGTCGTCGAATGTGTGGCTACTATGCCTTCGCACAATACTGTTCGGTATGGTAAAGGCAAATCTGGAGGTACAGCGCGAGATCCGGACTCAGTCACCGCAGAATGATCTGCTGAAAGATTGGGGGCAAACAACAAGAGCCGTGCTTCAGACTGTAAGCATTCTAAACACCACTTATATGGATAAATTGGATGTATCTCAGCTTGGGGACGCATGGTCCAAGTTACTCGATCTCTTACAGCAGTACTTCGAGTACCGTTCACATGCTCTAGGGGCGTCGGTCTTCGACACCATTACGGGTGTTCTTTCCCAGTCTGACAATAATCGTACATGGGGTATAGATCCCTTAGTCAAAACGGCTGGGGTATGGAGGAGCTATTTCCCCTCTCAAGACGCATGGCAACAAGGCGGCGAGGAAGACAACCAAGAAGCATTTGTAGCTTACGCGGATGCTTTTAAAGCCATCTATCGTCTTGCAGATGAGCCACTTGCTGCAGAACTGCCTTCTATGCTCGGCAATCTTGAGGCTTGCGTTGTCAATTCCGATGAAGTCGCCTACTCTTCTGATGTGGACAGCATGACTGTGCTCCAGAGCCGGGTTCTAGAGTGTTTATCGATAATCAAGACTGATGGCCCCGAGATTTCGTCGTATCTGATTGAGTTGTTGGGCCGGTTCATAACACTACCTTACACTTCACAAGACAAGTCTCCTGGAAGACGCGGGCCGACCTTTGTTGCGCTATCAAAAGCGTCCATGACGCTGTTGCAAGACACGATTATCAAGCACATCGATCAGGAAGAGATGTACAAGAATGATGCTTTTGCTCGTGCTTTGAATAGTTTGGCGCGGCCCATACAAGAAAAGTATGTGTGGCAACGCGAAGGCAAAGCACCAACCTTATGGCAAAAGGCTACGTCGACGAGCATAGCCATCATTAAGCCGGCATTGTCGCATCTTGGCTCGGACCAAGAGATCTGGGCCAATCTGGTAGATATAGCTCACTACATTACTCGAGCGCAGCTATCATCGGATGCTCCCGTGTCGCTCGAGAAGGATGAGGTGCTTGACATTGCGTCGTTCAAACAGCTCCGCGAGATTGTTGTCCTTCCTCTCGGCTCCGCGTCGCTTCCAGACAACCTTCGTCAGTCTTACGCCCGCAATCTCTTTTCAACGTCTCTGATACATAGCCCATTATCTGGAGAACTGCCGGACATAATGGCAGCGCCACTCGAAGAGCTCTACAAGGTTCGTCTAGGGCAAACAGCCGAGCTTGAGTGTACATGGCGGCCGAACATGGGCTATTCGTGTCTCTCTGAGTTGTTCAGTCTCGTTGCTGTGCACGATAGTAGTCCCGAACGAGTCAAGTTAGCCCAAGCAGCAGCTCCATATCTCATTCTACGGTGTGCGCTCCCGCTCAAGACGTACATAGCCGACCATCCTTTGCGGGGTCGTATGCCTGCGCCCGAGTCGCAGAGACGCGAGTTGCTTTTTGTACTTGAGGAGTTGCACAGGCTGCAATGTGAGCCGCAAGCCATACCCGATGCGCTGGGAGCGAAGTCGAAACACCGCAAGCATATACACAGGCTGTATCCGCTATTAATCAAGGCAACCAAGGTGGCCCGACATGATGGTGAAGTTTTCGAGATGTTGTCGAAGCTGACGGATGTTGTTGGGCAAGAGTTTGGGTTAGATGATGACTGAAGCGGACACGGAGGTTAGATAGAAGCATTCTGAGTGTACTATTGTATAGAAGACATTGTTCAAGATGTAGTAACTGAATGGTGAAACGAAAGCCGAAGGCCTGACATTGTAGCCGGAGCAGTCAGCCGGAGCTCTGTCCGCACAAGGGCGGGCCGGAGACACTCCGACCTCGACTCCAGACCTCTTGCCTCACTTGTGCCCACTTGTTGTGGCGGAACTGGCGCGCGCGCGGAATTAACCATGAGCTCCACGACGCCTGCAGACAGGTCCAACCCGGGTGACGCCATCAGCCCGTTGCAAGACGCCAACAACAATGCGAAGCGGAAGAGCGAGGATGCGCCAGCCCAGCCCAGGGCGAAGCGCAACCGCTACATCTCCATTGCTTGCAATGAGTGCAAACGCCGGAAGATCAAATGCAACGGCCAGACGCCCTGCCAGCGCTGCGGGAACCTCAACCTCGACTGCCAGTACTCGCCCAACTGCTGCAACAACTTCAAGGAGAGCGAAGAGTAAGCAAATCGCCTTATCGCAACCGAAAACACGGCGCGACTGACATATCCGAGGTTCAAGCAGATGTCGGCGCATATCAGCTCGCTCCAGCAACAAGTAGATGATCTGTTCCACAACATCAGCGCCCTCCGAAACCAAGTCGAAGTCCACAGCAATGCCTCCATGGGCACCCCCTTCACCCAGGACTACCAGCAGACGCCTATGCTGCCTCCTCATCCTTCGCGATCGCAGTCCAAGTCATCGAGCAAACACCGCCGCTTTCATGGGCCAACATCAAACGCATTCAATGTCAGCGTTGCGAGATCAAGTCTCAAAACCATGGGCATCAACCCAGGCGAAGAGGAAGACGACGAAGACCTCTTGACACGCGAAGAGACACCAGGGGAATCGCCTCCTGCAGCCAATGCTATGCCGCCGAAACGATCATTCCACGCCGACAAAGACCCGATATGGGCCCTCTCAAAGAGCGACGCTCTACGCCTAGTCCATGTCTGGCGGGACGAAGTAGCCGCCATGTACCCAATTCTGGATGTGGATAAGTTGATGCGCTATACTGAAATGCTATTTACTTTTATAGAGGCCGCCACTAGATCGGGCTTCATGCAACGTGCTCTTCCTGGCTCCGACGCAATGATGGATGAGCAAATCAGTACACTTAAGTTAGTCCTTGCACTGACCCTCGTAATCGAAGGTAGGGGGAAAGATCTGTTGGCGGAGAAGCTCTTCGCAAACGTGCATAACATCGTTGAAAAATCACTGTCTGAACCTGCCAGTCTACATAACATAAATATACTAGTCCTTGTTGTGAGTCAAAGTCCTCGTACAGTCTTCAGTCACGCTCACAAGTGTAGGCCATGTATCACTTTCACCATGATGAAGAAGGGCTGGCTTGGCGAATAAGTGGGCTGGCTTCGCGGCAATGTCTTGAATTGGGGTTGCATCGCCGGGACACGTATGCGACTCTTTTTCCCAATCCTGAGGATCAAGCGTCGGCAATCCGCATGTTTTGGACCATCTACGTTCTCGATCGTCGCTGGAGCTTTGGGACTGGAATGCCATTCGCCTTGCAAGATGCGGACATTGACAACGTCCCCAGGCCTGTAAGTCATGCTCAACTATGTGTATGTGTTTCAGAATCTGACTCAACCAGGAGCCATCGTCTCACGAGTCTGGCCACTATCTTCACGCAATGATCTCGTACTCAATAATTAGTTCGAAGGTGTGGAAATCGATCACTGAGGTGGGCCAACAGGACAAGATTAACAAGGAAGATATATCTTTCCTTGATTTCCAAGTACTGAATTGGCATCGTAGCATTCCGGATTCCTTGAGGTTTGTGCATCCGGACAGCGGTAGACAAGTGGAGGCACCATCCCGTCTAGTCCAGCGGCTCCAAGTGGTACTGTACCTTCGGGCAAACCAGATGCGAATTCTCATATACAGACCAGTCTTGCACACAGCAACCACCATTATGGAGAATTTGGAATTTGCACATGTCGTTGTCAAAGTGGCCAAGGACACGATTCGGATACTCACATACCTGAACCAGACATCTGATATTTACAGAAGTCAGCAGATAACATTCAACTACTTCCTCGTCTCAGCACTAGCTGTTCTATTTCTTGCTGTGGCTCACGCGCCGGCCGAATTTAATCAAGAATGCCGAGACGAGTTTTACATGGCGATCGATCTTGTGCGAGGTCTCTCGTCAAACTCGTACGTCTCGAAGCGGTTATGGAAGACGATCAAGACGATCAAGGAAGTCGGGCCACGTCTTGGGCTTGCCGTACGCAACGAGGAAATTCATGATGCCCACTCGTCTGCTGCAGTGGCTATGGCAGGCTTAGCAGGCCACTCGATGGACGAACTAGCACTGTTCTCCAACGGCCGCAACGGCACCATGCTGGATACACCGCACGGAATGGCGAGTGACCTCACGACCCTATTTGAGGCGGCTGGCGGGATTTTTAATCTACAAGGATTTGGGGGGTCGTCGAATGATATTGCAAATGGCAATGGAGAGTTTGTGAATGGGTTTGGGCAGGAGAATGACGAGCTGGCGCGTATCATGAGGGATTTGTTCTGAGGACTCAGCCTAGCCCGTCTTTAGACATTGTTACAACAATATGACTTGCATCTTATTCTAATCGCTCAAGAAAGTGGCTACGTGACAGGCGGTGAAACGAGGGCGGAGGGCTTGTGAGAAATCACGTGGTCTATCGCTAAGCTCGGGCGGCCAGGGCAGCCATCAATCTCGACCTGCCAAACCACGGCTTCACTCATGCACCCGGGGTGTCCAAGGGATCGACTGCACCGATAAATCGCACACCGCAAGAAGCGTCTGGGGAACTAGACCGCTCCTTGCGTAGAGTTTCGCGCTCATTCGACCCCTCCCCCACCCAGCTTCAACTGCACCACGACCTCCCCCGACGCCTTCCTTGTCGAACTCCCCAACACAAACACGCATGCGATAACCAAGACTGCAAGCGCAGATTCCGACGCCATACACACCCTTTGCCTCATAACAGCGTTTTGACGCCGACACACTGTTGGTTCTTGTACCTACAACAGGCCCTTAACCCCCACATTCGCATTTTCGAGCCCCTCGTCCCGTCACACGCACCCGCCTGTTGCGACTGCGCGTAGCAGCACCAGTCACGTCCAGATAGAGGTGCTGGCTTATACACACGACAGCCACCATGTCGTCTTCTTCGCAGGTCACCGAGTCGTGGATCGCATCCTTTTGCGGGCTGCTGGGTCACGAATACTTTGCAGAGGTCTCGGAAGACTTCATCGAGGATGACTTTAATCTGACGGGCCTCCAATCACAAGTGCCCATGTATAAGGAGGCACTGGAGATGATCCTAGATGTCGAGCCTGAGGACGACGAGGATGAGGACGAAGAGGAGGAGGAAGAAGACGAAGAAGACGAGGTACTGGGCGACGAGAGGCCTCCAGGTTACCGGCGCGCAGGCGACCGAAGGCATCTCCGAATAGCATCTGACCTCAGCGTCATAGAAAGCTCTGCGGAGCTGCTCTACGGACTCATACATCAACGCTACATCACGTCGCGACCGGGCATACAACAGATGGCCGAGAAGTACGAGCTTCAACACTTTGGCACATGCCCACGCGTAAACTGCAACTCCTGCAAGGTACTGCCTGTCGGCCTCAATGACAGCCCTGGCCACGAAACGGTCAAGCTATACTGCCCCTCCTGCTTGGACGTATACACCCCACCCAACTCGCGCTTCCAGACTGTCGATGGCGCCTTCTTCGGCACCACCTTCCCTTCACTTTTCTTTATGACTTTTACCGACCTCGACATTGGAGGCGGGCTTCGCAACAACACGTCCAATACTATTGACGCCCTACAGCAATTGCAATCGCAAAGCGCAGACGGCAAGTCACGAAACACGACGCCTTCGAACGTCACTTCGATAAACGGCGTCGCGCCGCACAACCTCGCACCCGGTCTTGGCACGGGCAGCATATACGAGCCACGAATCTACGGCTTCCGAGTCAGTGAGCGCGCACGCTCAGGACCTAGGATGAAGTGGTTACGGATGCGACCTGCAGATGTGACAGAGCTCGATGAGACGAGGAGGTACTGGGAGGAACATGACGAAGATGCCGACAGGCCGGACGACGACGATCTCAACATGGTTGACGTAGCAGAGGGAGGCAAGGGCACACCGGCAGACCGAAGAAAGAAGGCCATTCGAACACGAAGACGGCCGACGAATGGCTCAAATGCTGCTGCTGGAGGCAGTCCCATGGATACAAATGGAGTTGCAGCGGCGGCGGGTTAGAGCCTTCTTTTTGTCAAGCGAGAAGCGCCTTTTTTTCTGTGCACCGCCCAAACTTTTTGGTCTTCTATGAGGTGGGCAAAACTCTGAATGGGGAGGGTCACCATGATTTTGTGTCTAATTAAAACAAGCGACAACCCTGCTTGAGCAGACAAGGGCAGGGAAAGACCTCCTCAAGGCCCTTTTCGATTGTGCTGTGGGTGTGAATGGGACGGGATGCGATAATCATGTCGGTTATGGAGTTGGGGCTTAGCCCCAGGTTAAAGGGAAATCCTCATTTTATTTTGTTTCTTCTTTTTTTTCGCTTCCCTCTCCCTTTATTTTTACTTTTGCGGTTATGATGATATGAAGGGGGGGGGGATGCATGTGTGCGCGTAAACGAAGAACAAAGTTTTTTTGCGTCACTGGTGCCTTTTGTTTTTGATGACTGGATTCTGGGGATTGAAGGCATGAGGGTGGGGATGGAAGGACAAGGCGAAAGACAGACAATGAATCACTGGCATTATTATTATTATTATTATTGTTGTTGTTGTTGTTGTTACTTTCCTGTAGAAAGTGTTGTGAGCGTGAGATGGAGTGTTTCTTAATGGAACCCCTCAAGCCAAACTGATCAATGCACGTATGTATGTACGTACGTCCTTCAGTAAGTGTAAGGTCGACATCTTTATTCACCAAGTTCCTCAGCTTAAAACACTTACCATTCCAATCTTGTCACGCAAACCTATAAGAAGCAGGAAGCGCAGAAGAAAGAAGGAAAAAAAAGGAACATTACATGCTTCATTCAACTTTGCTACTACCATATTCATATCATAGGATACACACGGGGCATATACATGTAAGAGAGAAAGAGAGAAAAACTAAAACAAAAAAAACGTGAAAAGTGGTATATAACGAGCCATAAAATTTCTACAAGGGGGAATGAAGTCAAGACTAGAGAGACAGAGACAGAGTGTGTGTGAGAGAGAGGGAAAAAGGGGGAAACTCAATGCCCATGAGCCCACTCTGCAAGCTGCTGATTTGACGAATCAACGGATCCCTGGTTCTTCTCGTGGTGATGACTGGACATGGGCATTCCGGCGCCACGGCCCTCAAGGCCTTGCATCGAGACGCCTTCGTCCATGATGTCGTCGCGGTCGTCGTCGTCGTCATCGTCTGGGACTTTGATTTCGCGGGTGAGTTCGACGTAGTCGTACTGTGTGGGGTTATCTTGTTAGCGAAAAAGGTCATACTCATATACAAAAAAAACACATGTGTGTTTCTTGTTTGAAAGCGAGTGGGAAAAAAGGGGGGAGGGGGAGGGGGAGGGGGTGACGTACAGCGAATTCTCCGATTTCAACGTCGTCGATACCAGCGGCTTCTTCTTCTTCGGTTGCGCGCAGACGCAGTGCGGGGATGTAGCGGCCGAGGAAATCCAGGATGCCGAGGATGAGGCAGGTGCCGGCGAAGGAGTAGGCGCCGCCGGCGAAGGAGTCGGCGAGTTGGTAGCCAAGTTGGATCCAGTGCTGGTTTAGCCAGCCGCCTTTGATGACGGTGTAGCCGTCGAGGTGGGCGATGTAGTCTCTGTCAAGATTGTTAGAAATACGGAATGGGAAGATGGATAGGGAAGACGAAGGACTTACGTAGCGAAAAAGGCAGTCAGGATGTTTCCAATGAAGCCACCGACGCCGTGTACGGCGAAGATATCCAAAGCATCGTCACAGCGCAAGAAGTACTTGAGCTTGGTGGCGTAATTGCAAGCGATACCGCCGCAGACACCAAACACGACAGCCGCCCAGGCAGGCACGTATCCAGAACCAGGAGTAATGCAGACGAGTCCTGCAATGACGCCAGAGCAGAAGCCAACAGTGGACCATTTGCGCTCGAGACGGTAGTCAACCAGACACCAAGTAATGCCCCCAACACACGCCGCCAAATTTGTGCACACAGCCGCCATGATAGCCCGCAGATTAGCGGACAAGGCCGAACCCGCATTGAACCCGAACCAGCCCACCCACAGGAACACCGTGCCAATAACAATATGCGTGACGTTGTGGGGGCGATAGTTGAGCTCCTGGGTCCCGTGTCCGCTGCGCTTGCCGAGCATGTACGAGTAGCCGAGAGCAGCGCATCCAGATGCGATATGCACGGGGGTTCCGCCGGCGAAGTCGAGGCCGCCGAGGTTGAAGACCCAGCCCGAGGGATTCCAGGTCCAGCAGGCAATGGGGTCGTAGATGACAGTTGTCCAGATGAACATGTAGATGATGCAGGGGAGCATGCGGCCGCGTTCTGCGACGGCGCCTACTGCGAGGGCGACACTAAAAGACACACAACTTTAGTCTAGGATTCTTTTGCGGGGGAGGAGGAGAAAGAACGTACGTGATGGCAGCAAACATGCCTTGGTACACGGCAAAGAGTAAATCGGGGATACGCGGGCTACCGACTGAAGGAGCGCCGAGGACATTCATGAGACCAAAGTTGTCCAGTGTGCCGATGTAGCGACCGGCTTTGTGCGAGAAGGCAAGTGAGTAGCCCCAGAAGAACCATTGGAAGGAGACGACGGCTGTCGCCATGATGGAGAGCCATAGCAGTGATAAAGCGGATTTTCGGCGTGCAAGGCCGGAATAGAAGAAGCTGTTTTTTTTGTTAACGTCTATGTTACTCTTTATATATATATATATATATATATATATGTTCGTTGGATAGGAGCGTCAGATTTGATGAGGGAAGGGAAAAAAAGAGGAGATTGGGAAAAATACTAACCCTACACCCGGAATCATAAGCAGCACAAGTGCAGTCGAAGTAATCATCCATGCGATATCGCCGGGCTACAATAATTGACACTTTGAATTAGCCCCGCGTTCTTCTCCCCGCAACCAGAAACTCCAAACTTTCGGGAACCAACCTCCCAATTTCTGAGGGTTTCTTTCTTCTCTTTATTGGGGGGGTTCCGAATAGAAGAGAACTCACATTGTAGAAGACATTGAGGTTGTATAATCGTGAATCGCCGCCGGTAGGGATACTGGCGTTGGCGAACGTCTCAAGAGGAACCGTGGGGTCCAATCCCGACGTGACTGGATCCATGATTTTGTCGTTTTGTAACCACAACACAGATAACACAACCACACTCTTTCTAAGTTTTCCTAACCGCTATTGATTGCAAGCTCTTTCTTTCCCTCCAGATTCAAGTCTTTTCCGCGTCCAAACGGGCCGGGGTCCGGAATTTATTCGCCAAAAAAAAACGGTTCTTCAAGGCTACTATTTTTAAAAAATTCCAATATGTATCTTTTTCTAATGGAAGTTCAAAAAAAAAGAAGAAGATGGCTGATCGGATAGGGAATTCGGGATGTGGAAAAGGGCTTTCCGAGGGTAAACAAAAAGGGAAAAGAAAGATGGAGGTGAGGTGGAGCGGGCTTTGGGTTTGGTGGATAATCGCTACACCCTCCAGGTTCGTATTTCTTGGCGATCGGGCCTCGATGGGGTTTTTAAGCCCCGAGAAAGCAAAAAAACCGCGATCGCTGAAACGCGCGAATGGAAATGCAGGTGAGAAAAGAAGAAGAAGCCGGGACGCAAATTGAGATTGGAGGGTAGGAAGGAGAAGGTTTCGGAGGGTGGGAACGGCGGTATGTATGGGTAAGACTGGCGGCCAAGGTTCTGTAGTTTGGAATGTATACTACAATAAGAATGTACGCGCATGCGAGGCCAAGGGGTTTACGTGCGAAAGGCCGTTTTTTTTTCTTGGTGGGCTTATATGGATGGAGTAGGTATATGTAGCAGGAATGATATTATGGATCAAAGCTCTCTCGTCTAGGACCGCCCGTTTCCGGATGCAAGTTGCAGGTCAATCAGAGGGACGCTTTAGCGGGTGGTCCTGGGATCTGGTTGGCCTTGATAGCTAGTGTGCGGGATGGGGGGGGGATGGGATGATGGGGGACACACAGACACTTGGTGCGATACCCCATTGCTTGTCAGCCAATATCGGCCACGGGGGGGCGGCTCGTAAAGCAAAAGCAAAAACAGCTCGACTGCACTGCCAAACCAAACCAAACCAAACCTGCAGGGTGCCGCCCACACTGGCACTCGGCCGATCCCACGGACCCTTTTTGGCTTGAACCATACGTGCGGGATGTCACAGAGTCGGTTTTTTGACAGCTTCTGGGCCGACGCGGTGAGAATGACGGCTTTGGTGGCGGCAACCAGTGGTTCGAGTGGCGTGAGTTTTGTTTTGATGTCTTGCTCTTCTTCATCTTGTTCCCATTTGGACGTACTTTGGCTCGCGAATCCTTCCGTCTCACTCACCTTGGGCCAGTCGAGTGTAGGTATGAGACCGAGTGTGCGGGTCGACACAGGCCATGTGCATGCAGCAGGCCAGCCTCTCTGCTATCAGCATAATGATGCAAAGCCATTGCTCAGAGCTTGGGAGAGCAGCTGGAGCAAGGGTAGTGATAACGTGAGTAGGGCTGATAGGCCAGGCGGGCTACTCAGCCTGTCGAGGCCACCCCTGTTGTGCGTATCCGGGCGCGAGGCGTGCTACACTACGATGGGGCACACGCCCGCCTTAGCCTGGATACGGCGGCGATCAGAGATACCCACCATGCAGCACATCGTTCCCTGCGCAACTACTCCACGCGACACCCATCCTCGTTTGTCCATGCTGCATGTTTGCATAAAAGGAGACTGCGCTTTTCATGGCTGCGCATCCTCCGCCTCACAATTTCCGGAACACGGAGCGCTCTGTAGAGAGAGAGAGACTGTGTGTGTGTGTGTGTCCAAGTAGTTACGCGAACACCCATGTCCTTATCTCTCAGACATCTCGCATCTGCATCGCCACACAGCAGCACTGCGCGACGCACTATGCGCATTCACTCGAGCATCATGCAGCAGCCTCTTGGGCTCATCTCACACATGTTTCTGCTGTCCGCATCCATCAGTAGCGCTGCCGGCTTGCGAATCATACCATGCTGCTGGGTGCTCTGCTCGCCTCGTCTTCCCCAATCATCCCACTCTGCATAAGCCCTCTTTTCCTTTTTCTTGCGCCTTCCGTTCGCCTATCCCTGACATCCGCCTGTCACTGGCTACTCGACATGTTCAACTATCACGTCGTATATTTAAACACCTAACCGGCGTACGTAGGTGGCTATTGTCAGATAGGCTATCTAGGCCAGAGGCTGAGGCCATGGACGTGTCGAAACGAGGCCGTTACGGATAGACACTTCGAGCAACTTGCGTGGCCCCTCATATCATGAGCCTTGATGAGCATCGTCTCAACCCTTCTTCACGAGCTACTCCTTAATGTACACAGGCTAGCCAATCGTGTCCGCTCGTCTAGCTGCAGACAGAGCAATCCATGGCCATGTCTTTGGCAACCAACCACAAATCAAAACAACCACAGAGGTTGCTGGACCCGCACCTAATGCCTTATTACTCATGTTACGTGCATGTCTGCCGAGCATGCAGTCCTTAGCTTCAAATGAGCACCTCAACCAAGACCATCGGTTCTCATGCGTCAAATCAAGTCCAGCGTAAACCCCCTCCGCCTTATCCATAGGCTTATTTTCTGATCTTTTTACCAAAGCCTACCTGGTGGCCCAATCTGCCCGACAGCCAAGCATCCCACTTTCCCCATGAACAGGCCAATTCGCATATTTCAGCGGAACTGGCCCGCCCCACGGCCCGGAAATTGTCGTAGCTGCACGCACAGGCCCAGCGAGGCAATGTCGAACCAGACCACGACATGTGATAGCAGACATTCCAGCAACAAGGTTCGCACTTCAGGGATGCGCAGGCGTCCCTGATCCTACCGGAGTGTTCGTGCCTGGCGTCGCAGAGTCGATCCCCGCCTTCTTCTTCTTTTTCTTCTTCCGTGGGATCAGGGCTGGCGGGTTGGTCATCGCGCTCCGTAGCGACAGATAAGAACCACACGTCAGGCAGAGATTACCCGGGAGATCCGGACTGCAGAAAACTATACGATGTTAGGGCATCTGTGGGCGGGGTAGACAAAGAAAGTTCATCTTACTGCTTAAGCACACACTGCAAACAAAGCCAATATCAACGACTTTGCGGTGACAGAAGCATGCAGCACGGAAATCAACACCGCCGGCGCTGGGGACTACTAAGCTAGCTCTTGCCGTTACATCAGGCAAGAAAGCCATCATCAGATACTGAAGCAAGCCCTCTGGACGCTCTGGCTTCATGTACACTCCGCCAGTTGCATCACTAGCCTGCTGTAGCAAAACTGTGTCGCCAGCTAGCTTCAGAATATCTATGGGTATCCGCTTCCTCTGTGCAGCAAAGATGGAGTTCATGACGGGTATGTATTGGTTGGCCAGATCGCCAGACACGGATACGATGAGAATGCGAGACGTGAGAGACACGCGGTCAACATGGGTATTCTCCGAGTCGGCCAGCGCTGCAAGAGAGGCGCTCTCAGCTGAGGCAGCGGTAGGAGCATGTAAGATAGTCTGCTTGTTGATGTGCGTAAGCGCCATGGAGAGGGCGCCGCCAATGAGTGTCGTGGGCGTTGCTTCCAGATGACTTTCTTTGGTCTCGTTCAGCAGCTTGACAAAGTTCTGCAATATGGTGCTCTCCACCACAGCAAACGGCCGGTACTTGTTCGCACTCTCAGCCGCATGTTGGCCTTTGTCATCCCCAGTCCCATTCATTTCCACATCGCCATTTGCAGTGCCATTGCGTGGTTGTGTCTGCGGTGCTACAGGCGACGGATAGAGAAACGTGGTCTTGTGCGAGTGCGATGCTATTACGGCTACCTCGTTCGTATTTCCGGATGCCAAGTGCGCGTTGATGAAGACGAGAATGTTGGCTAGAGCAGTCGAAAGCGAAAGTGTCGAGGACAAGTGTGCCCAGGCATGTGGATTTGTGTCGAGCACAATGGCTAGTAGCGAAGGCGGAGGGGCTGGAGGGATGTTAGTGGTAAGTTCGCTGGTCCTTGTTCAAATCGCCTTGCCTTCTTCCGTCTTTATATGACGGTCTGAGCCATCGATGGTGTTCATGGCGTTGATGTGGGTCCTGACCAGAGGCGCAAAGGACCAGATTTTCCGTTCAAGGCCTGCTCATGATATTCTCGGGAGCGTCGAGCTCGTTCCACTCGAGCTTTGTGGTGAGCGTGTAGGTTGAGGCTCTAACCAAACTATGAGGTCAGGTTCGCGAGCGGCCAAGGCTCGCGCAGCCCGTGCCACACCCGCGTAGCCACGTGACGTTCCTGCACCGCCATTGTCTAAGGGCCTGGTGGGGAATGGCATAAATTACGAGTTTACAGCATCCTTGCGTGCGAAGAGATATCTGAGATTCATTATTGGCTTTCGCTTTACACAATGTTATCTCATGATGTTGATAGAGTGGGCAGCATTGCCCTGACATAGCTGGGTCAGGGTGCAATGATAGTGTCAGTAACCTCAATCGATAGCCTTGCCATTAGTGATTGATTCCATTCCTGGATACTGAATTACCTGTTTATTGTCCATATACATTATGGATCATGGTACGCAAAGAGAGCCGAGCTGAAGAACCGCCACCATTACAAGGCTCATCGCTGCATATAAGCATCTAATACCTAGCTGTCATTCGACCATCAGAACTAAATACGTAAACACAAACCGTGCCTTCCATTCTCAGAAGTGCTCTTAGGTTTCTATCAGAGAGATTTTGTTACTCCTTTATCCATTTTTTTGTTCCTGTACACTGCTTCACCTCCTCTCCACCCTCCACGCTGCATTTTGATCTTCTCCCCACAAAGACGCTAACATGATCACAGAGTCAATAAAAAGGGTAAACGGCTATGACAAAAATGCATACACATACTACCCCGTCATAATCGTCGGCGCTGGAGCGTCTGGCATCGCTGCAGCATGTCAGTTGAAAGCCCAACTTGGGTTCGATCAGTTCCGTGTCTTTGACCGCCAGACTGGAATTGGAGGAACTTGGTGGATCAATCGATATCCTGGCGTTGCTTGGTATGTCTCCATGCATTTGTTTGTGCTGAGCAAGGAACACCATAAGCACCTCGTACTTCTTCTATTTGCTGCATTTTATCACATATGACTACACACCAAAACATATGCTCTAGTGCTGACACTACACAGTGACATACCCGCACTCTTCTACTCCTTCTCCTTTGCCCAAAACCCTAACTGGAGTGCCTTTCATCCACCTGGCAAGGAAATCGCCCAGTACTATCACGATGTATGCGAGAAATACCAAGTCGTCGACAAGTTCGAGCTCAACACCGACATCCAGAGCTGCGAATGGCTAGAAAACGAAGCCTTTTGGGAAGTCACCTTACGCCGTCTGGTCGTAGGCATGGGCGACCTCTCTTCCAAGGACCGCATGAAGATTGTTCAAGAAAAGGGCGAGCAGGCAGTATATTCCGAAACCCAAGTCATAAAAGCAAAAGTGGTGCTGAGTTGTGTTGGCGGCCTAGTCGAGCCCAAAGACTTTCCCGAGAACATCAAGGGCATCGAAAACTTCAAGGGAAAAGTCTTTCATTCCGCACGATGGGACGACACAGCCGATCTTACAAATAAAAACGTGGTGGTGATAGGATCAGGATGCAGCAGCGCACAAATCGTGCCTTCACTACCTCACCCCCCTTACAACGCCAAATCAGTAACCCAAATCATGCGATCCCCGCCTTGGGTCGTCGACGCCGTCCCACCTCCTGGCGGCAATGAATGGTGGAGAGCAAACGCGCCCTGGCTAATGCGCAACATACCCGGCCTCAAACAAATCGCCCGCTTCAGCATCTTTTTCCACACCGAAAAAGCCTTCTTCCAGATCTTCCCCAATAACCCTTTCTCATTGGTCATGCGTAAGAAATACGAGGAGTGGCTCCTCAACCACATGCGGAAGACCGCGCCTAAGAAATACTGGGACATACTGACGCCAGACTATGGTGTGGGATGTAAACGCCGTATCTATGATCACTACTGGCTGAAGAGTCTGAATGATCCTAAGATCGAACTTACGACACAACCTCTGACTAGAATCACGGAGACGGGTGTCGTTGTCGGACCAGGTGCATCGTACCCGGCGAATGCAAAGAAAGAAGACTACCCTGAGCGTGAGATCCCTGCCGACATCATCGTCCATGCCAACGGTTTCGACACAACACGATGGCTGCATCCACTCAAAGTCATTGGCAAAGAGGGAAGAGATATCGTCGAGGTTATGGAGGAGCGGGGAGGCGCACAGGCGTACCAGGGCACCGCTATGGACGGATTCCCGAATTTCATGATGATATTCGGACCCAACACTGTAACTGGACATTCCAGTGTACTCATGGCGAGTGAAAGTAAGTCGGGTTACTCACAACCTTATAAAACCTCATTTCCCTCGAGACTATCAAGCTAAACAACCATTGTCTTTTTCTTTACTAATACTCTTAGACATGATCAACTACTCCATCAACTTCATCCGACTAATCCTCACCCACGACGCCCGCACTTTCGACGTCAAGCCCGAGGCCGAAAAGGCGTACACAGTCGAGATGCAGCGCGCGATCGACAATACCGTTTGGAAAAGCGGGTGCTCGAGCTGGTATTTTACCGACAATGGTTGGAACTCGACTGTGTACCCTTACTCGCAAATCGTCTTTTGGTATCGCTGCCTGTTTGTCAAGTGGAGTGATTGGAATATTGAGTATACACGTGAAGGGTTGGTTAGGATGAGGATGACGAGGATGCTGAGGATGCTGGCGCTGCTGCTTGTGAGTTATGGAATATGGAAGATGAGACTGTATGAGTTGGGGTTCAGGGAATGGAAGTATCTTGGCCGAATTGTGGCGCAGGGTTCCATGCAGAGTGCTATGCAACTTGGTGAGAGGATATGGAGTTCGATCTGGCTGTGAAATACATAGGTAGTCGTGATTGTTTACTTCACTACGTAATACCTCAGCATTAAGATTCAGCAAGGGAGTGTAGAGAATGTGGCAACACAAAGTATTCTAGTTTGATTGATCGATCAGCGTTCGTCAGAGTTGACATTGAAGTCTTCTGTTGGCGAGGCGCTATGCCTGGCTAGACTTCGACTGCTCGCTAGGCATCCCTCATCGTACTACTCGACTGACATAGTCTTCAAGTGTGGTAGTATATGCTCGAGCGCATATATTCTTACAGCACGGTGCTTGTGTAATGGGTGTAATGACAGTATACGGTAGTCCAATGTTTCAAACTAGAATCGTTAGTACAAGTTCCCGTTCTCATGTACATGGTCGTACCATCGAGGTAATCAGCAGCAATCAGCAATTCCAAGCACAGCTCAGGCGGTATATCCATATCCGAGACGTCTTTGCTCTCTGCATGCTTCTGGTTGTAATACAGGTACTCACAGACCTTCTCGAGTACAACACCACTGACTGACAGTTAGTTCAGGCTCATCATGTACCTTTCGCTCTCAGTGGCGTGAGGCCATCAAGGCAGCACTGGCGGGGCGTAGCGACAGATATCTAGACGTACTTGATGGTCGGTAGATCGACGCGATTCTGTGCGTTTTCTCGGAAGCCAGCTGGAGGAGATCATTAGTCGCTGCAGGGCCCACTGTGGTACATGATCCTGAGGTTGCGAGGCGTACACATGGGGTCCAGCGCCTTCTTGATTGTTCCTGCTATGCATGCTGCAGAACGCAACAGCTTGAATTCATAGCCATCGTTGGAGACCAACGTGACGTACTCGGTGGGCTTTTCGTCTGCCATGGTTGCAGGCAATGGGCGGAAAAGGTATTCGTCGTGGGGGTGAGAGGCAAGGGTAGGGATTGCGGGGAAAGCTGGCGAGTCGCGCAGTCACGTTTTCTCGCGTAGCATGGACGTTGTACACTGACATCATCTCATCTTTTTCAATTCCATCAAAGCCCGTCCATCTACCTTACATTGGCCAGGCCTTGGCAATTGGCCTCATATCTGCAGTCGAGCAGAAGGGAAAATAGGAAAACAGTAGAGACTGAGAAAACAATCACTTGCTATTTTCCACCTTCTCACAATCGACTTTGGAGAAATGAAAAACTTTACCATGACCATGAGACCGCGGCACATACTCGTCACAGGCGGGAGTCGCGGCATCGGTCTCTCCATCGCCCAGCTATTTGCAAAAAACGCATATAGATGCACCCTCATATCACGCTCAGAGGAAAATCTCCAAACCGCCATCTCATCATTACACCCTCTAACAACACCCCATGCCCAATCAACCTCACCAGACGCAAACTCCGCCCAATACCAACATAGATACATAGCAGCCAACATATCCGACGGCCCATCCTTCTGGTCCGCCCACACCTTCGGCGCCCACCTCCCCAAACCACCCCGGGACGCACCTCCCACCCACCCCTCGCACATCGACGTAGTCGTAAACTCCGCCGGCATAACCCAAGCCAAGCTCTTCGTCATGCTCAACGAAACCACCATCGATCAACTCATCACCACCAACCTAACCGCCATAATGCACGGCACCAAGTTCTTGCTTCGCAATGGCTATATGCGCAGCCCCAAGTCTGAAACTTCGGGACCCAGCCCGACCATCATCAATGTGGCGTCGCTGCTGGGTCTGCAGGGCGGATACGGTGCAGTTGCTTATGCGTCGTCGAAAGCGGGTGTGCTGGGTTTTACGCGCGCGCTGGCGACTGAGTATGCGAGTCATAAGGTGCGGGTTAATGCTATTGTGCCGGGTTATGTCGACACGGATATGACAAAAGGTATGTGGTGATCTTTTTGCATCTTAGGGCTGGTTGGTAAGTGAGCTGGAAACTGACATGTGGTAATGATATAGATCTCAACTCTACCGAAATCCAACAGCGGATTCCGCTGGGTCGGTTTGGGACGCCGGAGGAAATTGCGCATGCGGCGCTGTTTCTTGCGGAAAATCAGTATGCGCATAATTGTGTGATTAATCTGGATGGGGGGTTATCTGCCGTCTGATTCTAGGTCATCTGGGATCAAGGTGGGGTGTCTAATATCTTGCATTATTGTATGATATGTTTGCCATTGTGACCACGTAGGTACGGTCGTTATTTTTTACTTCCCCCACTTATGAGGTTGATCTGCTCGCTCGCTCGCCGCCGAACAAGTCTTGAAAAGAAGAAGAAAGAAGCAAAAAGGTATATTCGTGTCCATGCTGCCTTTGAAAACGCCTTTTTCTCAAAGACTGACTAGATGGCAGACTTGCTATAGTACAGAGTAGGAAATCTATGTGTGCTTCGCAGGCGTTGAGACTGCCGCACAAATCAATTGGAGATTCGAGGGCGGTGCTGCCCTTGACCAGCAAGCAAAACATGCTGGTAATGCATGTGATACCGTATGGAAACCGGAAAAGGTTAGACAAGGCCAAGGTTCTAGCAATGGGGATTAGGGTCCTGGGGCAATCCTAGAAGATGACGCGCCAACTTGTAAGAGTTGACCAAGCGTTTTAGCGGATAGCTTATTCAATCATCTTCAATGACAATGGCACCGTTGATGTGATCCTCTTGAATGACAATATGATCACCATCCTGCTTCAGAGGCTCTTCCATGACTTTGCCCTTCTTGCGTATGAGCTCGTCATTCAGACCGGCCTCGGTGGCTGTTCGCTTCGTAGCACCATTCGCACCCTCATCCGTAGCGTCATTGCTGGCTGGAACGGTGCCGTTGATAGCAGCATGCCCATTCGTCTCTGAAGCGGGTGCCTTGGGCTTTGTCGCAATCTTGACTTCATCGGGTAGCCTCAGAGGCTTTGCGTTCTCGGTGAAATCTTGATGAGTGATGGAAAAGACCACATCAACCTTGGTGTTCTCTTCTGCATCGTCGGAGACGGTGATGAAAGTGTCGTTCTTGAGTCCCAGCTCCTCAAATGTCTTTTCAAGATGAATGTCCTCGTCCACGTCGTAAAGTATATCCGCATCGCGCTTGATGCTAAAATCTCCAGTGTATCCAAGATTCTCCTTCAGAATATAGTCGACTAAGTCGCTCAACTTTGCACGCTTTGTATCAACAGCGAGCGTAGCATAGCATACACTGCATGTTGCGCAGTAGGGGTTAGGTGGCCGGAGTGGCTCGCTGGAGATGACACGCTCTGTACCGCGGGTAAGAAATACCATTTTTGCCTTGTCAAGCTGCTCGCGGAAGACCTTGTAGGCTTGGAGAACGCAGAGGCTGGCAGTCATGGCGTTGGTGGTTGCGATCGCGGGGATGATGTTACCGGCCATTTCTACAGTCTGTTAGCAAAGTTTCTCAATGTCCGTGTCAGAGTCCCTACGTTTGATATCAAACTTGGACCGCATTTCGATGCCAAAGATGTGTGACCGGAGGTTGGCGCTTGCGACAACAAAGTCGAGAGTGTCTACGTCGTCCTTGTCGAAGCTGAGAATGGGCATCGAGTTTCCAATCTCATTGTTTGCGCGCGTTTCCTCCAGCCGGTTGCTCAGTCGCTTTATACTATCAATGAAGACGGCAAAATTCTCGGCAACGGTCCAAACAATTTGGTCCTGTTGCGCGATGAATTCACCTACCTCCGCCGACTCTTGTACAAGCTTTTCATAATCCAGAACTGTGGGTGCTTTCCTAGTCTTCCACATGTCTTCCATGCTCCGCAACCTCTCAATGTCCTCGTTGAATACCTTATCAAAGATTAGCCGGGGAAAATCTTGGGAGCCCATGGAGTCGCGTATGCGCTTCAACGCTTGTGCCTCCTTGCGCAGGTTTGCGACCTCATCCGCATTATCGGCATCCTCGCTGTGATCCAGCTCGGGGGCTTCGTCTTCGGACGTGCCGAAAATCTCAGCGAACAAGTACGATTTTGCCCAGACGATGCAGTGGATAGGTTGTGACGGGGTACTTCGGATTGTACAGACGGGGAAGGACTTGGGCGCATCTTTGGGCGTGCAGTCGTAGCATTCAGTTTCACCCTATTGAAAATAGTCAGCATGTGTAGTCTCAAGAAGCTTGAGTTTCTGGCTGCGCACCCGCTTGATGACCTGGACCTGGCCGTTGAAGCCCGTGGTGCCACTCTCGATCAATGGCACGGCAGCTGCCAGACACATTTTATTGACATGGCGGCGCGCATCCACATTGTCGAGCGCGTTGAAGACGAGACGGAAGGTCTTAAACCACGCGACGTTGAATTGGGTATCCTTGATATTGTCGTGGTATGCGATGATGTCAACGTTGGGGTTGAACTTGGCAGCCGACTCTTTCGCAACCTGTCGGGGTATCAGCACATGCCCAAGCACGTGTGTGTGGATGCAGTGGTTGCCCTACCAATGCCTTTGACTTCTTGATGTGCTCAGTGCGGAACAGGAATTGGCGGTTAAGGTTGCTGAGGTCGATGGTGTCGAGGTCGACGATGTGGATCTCGCCAAAGCCGGTGAGGACCAGGTTCTTGAGGAGCTCGCAGCCGATGCCCCCAGCTCCGACCATCAAGACGCGCGACTTGGACTTGGTCAGCCACGAATGAGGATTCTATTGCGCAGGCAGATAGGTACCTCTTTGATGCGCTGGTGGAGCGCGCCGCCCAGGCTCTGGCGAGCAAACTTGTCGCGAGCCATTGCAGGTTCGGTCGTGTACAGGAGCAGAAGTTGGGTTGTGTTACAGGCGAGGTTGCGACATGCGAAGCACAGGGCTGCGACGCCGATTCCCAGGTGAAGGTGAAGGTCAGAGACACTAGAGACGACAGGCGAGAGACGAGAGACGAGAGACGAGAGACGAGAGACGTCAGTGCTGCCCCATACTTAGCGCCGCTCCACCGGGTTCGCGCCGCCATCTTCTCAGCCTCTGAATCTTGGCACTTAAACGAACGCCCTATGAGTGGAGCATACCACTCGAGACCAAGGGACGCACATTCATCGCTATTCACCTGAATTGTCGGCTTGGCTCTTGTCTTGATCTCTCTCTCTCCCTCTTCACTGCCTTTACCGATACTAGAGCTAGTGGCTTCTTCCTGCCCCCATCATGTCCGACGATGAAGTCGACCTAGAGCTGCTAGACCTTATGCGGAAGCATTGGGGTGGCGGTGTCAAAGAAGACGGTCCCCCGGAAACAAGAGTGCTCGAAAATTCTCAATTCATCTACGACAATAGCCTTGATGTTGCCCTGGACATGCGGTCGACAAAAATCGCGGCTCGGCTTGTGCTCGATGAAATGGAAAAGCGCGAGTATTCAACAAAATCATGGTCCGAGCACGAACTGCATCCAAAATCAAAGGATGAGAATACTGTCAACTTTATCTTCACAATGGACCTGCTGAACTTCAGTTTCTGGAGCGAAAAGGATGATGAAGATCGGTTTGCTGTAGTCTACAAGGGAAAGAGGTGGACTGGCTATTGGAGCTTAGTAGCAATACTCCAAAGAGCCCTAGAGCAAGAAATCCCCATTACTAGTCCGGATTTCTGGCTTGACCAAGAGGCATGTTCAGAAGAAGTGCTGCGCACCGTCTTTAGTTCTGGCACGGATGAGGAGATCCCTATGTTTGAGCAAAGGGTACGGTGTCTGCGAGAGGCTGGACAGATTTTAGAGGAGGTGGGTTCGTTTGTGAAAAAAAAAGACCCCAAATTGTGAAGTCAGTTTTTGACTGACGGAACAGGACTTTGACGGTAGTGTGGTCACCCTCATTGAGGATGCAAATCATTCAGCAGCCGGCCTGGTGAATTTACTCGCAGAAAAGTTCAACTGTTTCCGAGATGAGGGCACTTTTGAAAATAAAAAGGTGCGCTTCTTGAAGCGGGCCCAGATCTTCGTAGCAGACTTATGGGCGGCTTTTGAAGGCGAGGGCTATGGTGAGTTTAACGATATCGATAAGATCACCATGTTCGCAGGTACGTATGCAGTTCATCCGCACCATCGATGCCCAAGATTCACGCTTTTCCAGACTACCGCATACCGCAGATGCTGCATTCATTAGGCATTATATGGTACTGCCCGCCTCTCGAGAACAAAATTCGCCGTCTTGAAATCATCGATTCCGGGCATACTTGGGAAATGCAAATACGCGGGTGCAGCATCTGGGCCGTGGAGCTTCTCCGCCGTGAGATCAAGAAACTCAAACCAGATACGGAAGTTAATGCGATTCTCATTGACTTCTTCCTATACGATTTGGCCAAGGAAAAAGAGAAGGAAGGGGTAGACGTAATCCCGCACCACCGGACAAGAAGTATATGGTATTGAGAAGCGATTGAGTCTAGTAGCAATTGCCGATGAAACGATGCCCAGAGTATTCCCCACTGACTTACACTCTTGCAAAAGAGCGATTGGTTGCAAGTTTCTCATCACATCATGAGCAAGGTCCTGACTCGTGATATATGCACTGCCCTTTCAAGGCCCCCCACCATTTAAACTTTATAAGTAAGCTCGCTCGTACCGTCATCAAGCCGCAAATTACCGTACCTTTGAGCAGGCTTTCACGGACTGCCTTTGGGCACCAAATTCGGTCCAGGGAATGCCGTCTGGCCTTGGCGCCCGTTCCGTATTGCGGTCAATCATTATTTGCCGATACTAGTGCTGACCATATGGAGATCATCCTTGTTATGAAAATATATGGTTGTAATGAGTAAGACTGGCGTGCACTTGTGAACGTTACTCGTAGGGACATAGGCATGGGAAACAGAAGCCGGGAGAATGAAATGAAGGTAAACTTTCGGTACGATTTGATCGTCTGCCATAAGTCTTACTTGCATTATGAAGGCTGTGCGCGAAAGTGCACGCGTTTACACCCTTGTTCTTTAATTTTTGCCTCATGTTTGCCGTCTACATCCGTCCTTGTGACCAGACGCTGTGGTAATACGTGTGATTTCGCAGCCATTCATTACCCCCATTCTTGTCACTCTTTTTTGTCACTAGTTCTTCAGCTGCTCTTTCTAGAGTTCTAGTTGCCATTCATTTCAAAAATTGTGTGCAGACTTTCATGTACGTACTCCACTTAATATCACTTAGAGAGAGCCAACAACTCACCATACATTAAGATAATATAAACCATGGGCAATACCGTGAGTGCTGCCCAGACGGGAATCTCTACAGTTACCGGGGGCTCTGCAGGTATTGCAGGTTCCGCAATCCACCAATGTCTCATCAGGGCCGTAGGCGACAACAATGTCGCCTTCAAAGGCGACCCCCTCTACCAAGTCAATGATGTCAAGCCATACAATCTCGATATCCAGATCACTCCCACCGCAGTCACTTACCCGAGCACTGCTGATCAAGTTGCTGCAATTGTCAAATGCGCTGCTGAGTGCAATCTTCCTGTACAATCGCGCAGCGGCGGTCATTCCTTTGGCAACTACGGTATTGGAGGAAGGGACGGTGCTGTTGTCGTCGATTTGAAGCACTTTCAGAAGTTCTCTATCGATAAATCTACCTGGCAAGCTACTGTTGGCAGCGGAACCCGCCTTGGTGACCTCACCAAGCGACTCGGCGAGAATGGTGGCCGTGCCATGGCTTATGGAACATGCCCACAAGTCGGTACCGGAGGACACTCACTTGTCGGCGGACTTGGACCAGCTTCTCGCATGTGGGGTGCTCTTCTCGACCACGTTCAGGAGATCGAGGTCGTTCTAGCCAACTCAACTATCGTGCGTGTTTCGGATAAACAACACCCGGATCTCTTCTTCGCCATGAAGGGAGCCGGCGCCAGCTTTGGTATCGCCACTGAATTCAAGTTTCGCACCCAAGCAGCACCCCCCAACGCTGTAATTTACTCTTACACTTTCCAAGGTGGCTCGACGCAATCAAAGGCAGATCTTTTCAAGAGGTGGCAGAAGTTGGTCTCCGATCCTCATCTTTCGAGAAAATTTGCCAGCCAGTACATCATTGCTGGACCTATTGGCGCCGTCATCACTGGTACCTATTTCGGTACCCAGGCAGAGTACGACAGTTTGAACATCTCTTCCCGTCTTCAAACAAGACAAAGCAATAGCTCCGTTGAGATGAAGGATTGGCTCGGTGCTGTCGGTCACTGGTCGGAGCAGGTCGCATTGCAAATTGTTGGCAACATCCCAGCTCACTTCTATGCCAAATCCCTTGCCTATACACAGAAAGATCTCATGTCAGATGCTACGGTTGACAAGGTCTTCAAGTATATTGACACGGCAGACAAGGGCGGTGCGCTTTTTTTTATGATCTGGGATCTTGCGGGTGGTGCTATCAACGACATTGCGAAAGATGCAACAGCATATGGACACCGCGATGCGCTGTTCTTCCACCAAGCATATGCCGTCAACCTACTGGGCAGGGTAAGTTCATCCCACACCGTTTCATACTATAGACAGATTTTCTAACAGCATGCAGCTCAATGACACAAGTCGCGCCTATCTCAACGGTATTAACGACGTCGTCATCAACTCGCGAGCAGACCGCGATCAAGGCGTATACGCTGGCTATGTCGACCCCGCACTGGGTCCCAACAGTGCAACCTATTACTGGGACGGCAATGTGAACAAGCTGCAATACATCAAGGCTTTAGTGGACCCGCGCAACGTCTTCCGAAACCCGCAGAGTGTTCTGCCAGCGGGTAGATCGGCCAAGCGAAGGGCGATTGTATAAATGTCTCGGATGGAAACTTGGGGGCTTGGTAGGAAGTTGGGTTTTACAAGCTAGGATCACGGTTTTACTCTTCTACACGCATACTTCTAATGACTATTATACATGAATATATTTTTCCAAGAAACCATACCCGATACATGCAAGGCCAACGTCGTACAACATATACGTATCGCCTCTTATCTCCTTGGCGCCGACAGGCTGCTCTTCAGCTGAAAGTAATCACTGGGCATAAAAACGCATCGTGCTATTGAACATCATCCATCAACCCAAAATCAAACCACTCGTCACTCGCTCAGTAGCGCTTTCTCTTTTCTCTCTGCTTTGTGTCTACCTAACCCTTCCTCACAATGGCTTCACCATACCCACCCACCCCTCAAATCTATCCCCAATAACCGTACCAATCAATCCCCTACCCAAGTTCAGATCCCCAGTGGAAGCCACACTAGCAAATGAACAACACCGCTCAGTCGATCCCCACTCAAAACGCGCAAATACCCGTCGGAGAGGCAGAAAAACAGGATGAACCGTGTTGTTGTGCGCGTCGAGGTTGCTTCTGGAGCTGGTTCTGTTACAGGAAGATACGTGCGGATTGTTGTCCGTCGTGTTGTTTTGTGTGTTGTTGAAGGGAGTGGGGGAAGGTGCAGGATACGTTTGCTTAGGGCGGATTACTACTTTGAGATGGGGGAGGACCGGAGATGCTACGCAGCGGATGAAGGTGTAGGATTTGTTTTATCTTTGGAATTAGGGTATGTTTTGCGATTGCTTTATTGTGTGATCGTGGTGCTTGGCGAGAAAATGGCATGTTACACGGGCATTAGCGTCTATTTAGCATTGTTTAGGGGGCATAGCAGTTGGGCGATTTTGGAAGATGATCAGTCGGTTTTGGAGCTGGAGGAAAGAGTATCTTGTTTTTTGTATCATTGATGCTTGGAAGGCTTGTGAAAAATCGCATGTCGATGCTATAGCTTCAAAATACCCTCCTTTCCACCCCAGGCAACGTACATCTGGGTGATATGACGACTGAGAGAGATGGTTGCTGGAAGAGAAAGGATAGAGTGTTAGTTTTTGTGTCATATCTTAAACCAAACCACTCTAACAGTTAAAAAAATCATGACAAATCATGGATGTACCAAGTTGCGACATATAATACGCAAAGGGATGAGATTCAGCGTAAAGAGGTCTCATAGATGTTGATTTTTTGCAAGCGCTCTCTATAGCGACGTAAAACATTCAGATATCTGTACTAGCTTGCAACACTTCCTTTTTTATCGACGAAAGCACGTGTTAGAGTTATCTTGTTGGTATTGCACAAGCATTCAAGGCGTGAATTTTTTTTTAAAAAAAATGAAGCAAACCAACCGCATTCTGAATGCCGATGTTTGAAAGGAAACGATCCAGAGTCTTGAAATTTCCGATTTTGTATACAAAGGTTCACAGCGGCGAAGGCCAGTACCGTGAAACTTGTGTTCTTGTACAGTGGCGAAAATGCGTCGTCGTCCGTGCGGGCACAACCTAAACCTGAGGAAATTTCGGTCAACCCCTTGCATTAACCTCTTGCATTGGTCCGCCATCATCTGCACGGACAATACTAGCAAAGCCAATAGTCGATTTGGCCTTGATCGAGAAAACATGACTTAAAGGCCGACTCTGAGTAATTGGCCTGTGAGATTTGGGCTTCCTTGATGCGGCGGTACGTCCCTTGCGGACTCTTTACTATCCAATAAGAACGCAGTCCGCTAAGGAACTCATGTTACTCACTTATTGCAGTTTTTGATAATATAATCCTCTCGAAAGTCCCAAATGATCTTCAAAGGAAGTCGGCCATCTGTACCTTTGAGGCGCTGCCTTCCTTACAGGCTTCCTGACTGTTCCTATTCCACACCATGGCATCTTCAGGGATTTCACAACAAAAGGCAGGTCAAGTCTGCCCCAGATTGCAGTAGTACACAACGGAGGCTTCTATGGGGTAGCAGTGAGCCGCCACAACACTTCGGACCAAAATCCCGGATGCCGGATCTCTTCGAGAGGAAAGATGAAATGTGTTTGAGACTTGCAACTCAGCAATTAGAATGGCACGGGCTCCCCCCATCAGAACACCACGATATGTTAGAGGCAGTAGCAAGGGTCGGACGCATCGAAGGGTGCATTCAGTACACCTTCAGAAACAAAATGTTATGCGTGGAAGCATTGAAGGTCACGTCATCGAATTACCCTCTATTTTTCAAAGGGATGATTCATAAAGTCAAACGCAACAATCGCTTAGCATTGCTAGGTGATCGAGTACTCAGCATGGTTTTGTGCGAAATATGGTATAGTACCGGAAATTCACCAGGTGTGTTTAACGCGCAGCTCATATAATTCACACTGACACTCCTGATAGCTCATTGTAGGCGATCTTCTACCAACGTTATGTGAGACAATATCTAAGCTTACCTATCCTATAGATACGAAGATCAATGACGCGATAGCAACATCATCTGCGCTTTACGAGAGAGCCCGCAAACTTCGTATAGACAGAGAAATCCTAATTGGCGAAGGGATGTATATTCCATCGATCAGGCATATCGCCGAGAGCTTGGAAGCCATACTCGGCGCTGTCTACGTGGATTCTGATCACAACCTCGAAACAGTAAAGCAGGTTATCAAATATGTCGAGCTCGATAAACATGAATCCTTGAAGGCACAGCCCGAAGCACATCTTGACCAAGCGGATGGGGAAAAGCAACATATGGTATTTCGGGAGGAAGAGTTACCGTTCGAGGAAAGGATCAGATCTTTAGAGCACGAGGCAGAAGTACTTCAGAAGGATCTTTGGGATGCCGAATCCTCCATCACAGGTGTGTCAGGGGCGAAGCCCAACATCAGCCCCGAAGCGCAGGTTGCTATCCGCAGAGAGGCTGCAAAGCTGTCAATCAATGCAAGGCAGTTATGGAAAGAAATTGGTCAAGTTCCTGCTTCTGTTGCTTGCAGTTCAGTCAAAATACATATCAAGAGAAGGGCAAGAGCTATGATCCAAACGGCAGTAGCGCTGCAAAGTGGGGTGGGCCACTCTGATGGAACTGTGGAAGAGCAGTCGACTGAGGAGCCTGCTATTGGCGCGACGACCACTGATGAGTTTGGTTCAATCGTAAGTGCATATGAAGCAGTTTCGAAGCCAACCAACTGCTGAATACTCGAGATTATTTCAGTATACATTAGCTAACAAGGTGCTTTCGAAGAACGAGAACCTACCACCTGACGAGCCTGTAGAAGATGGCACTCCAGAAACAACGGAAAAGCAGCCAGATTCACTGACCTGCCTCTTTCCGAATGAAAACAGCACAGATTGTACACCAAAGTTGGCTATCTCAGCTTCACAAAAATCACCGGTAATACCAGCTTATTCGGTACTGCCGAAAGATAGCAATATTACTATCATAGCTCTCATAGCCGAGTTAAACGAAATTCTGAGGCAACATGACACACAAAAAATGAGTGGTATAGGAATGCCATCCGATAGAGAACTCTGTCTCAAGTTTGTCGCATGGAAGAACGCATTGAACAAAACAAACAGTCGCGAGCGCCGAGGCAAATCAACCAATACTCTGGCCGTGTACGAAGAAATGTTACAAAAATCTCTAAGAAGAAGGGTAATCAAGGAACGTAAATGCTTGGCTGGTTTTCAGAAAAAGGTTCTGGTACGAAAAATCAGGCGAGTGGAATCTCTAGAAGTTGAAAAACCTACGGCTTCAACACCTGCAAAAGAAGAAATCAACCTTGCAAAAGAGCAAGACCAAAATCAGGGCCAAGGACAAAAACAAGAAAAGAAAAGATTGGCGCCTGCTCACCATAGACATCAGAAGGAAATTGGGGATTTTTTGGAGAGCGTAAAGCATCCAGAGCAAACTGAGGAGAGCATCGAGGATATAGAGCGAACCATCAGCGATATGCATGCTGCCGCATGGGAAACAACCAACAAAACTGCAGAACAGGCTCCACAGCGTGTGTCATTGAAGCCCTCCCATAGCCCTTCAATGGGTCCTGGAATCCGTGCCCGATTTCGGAGGCCTGCGTCACCATTCCGAGGGAAGACAGCATCAACCCCCCCGAACGGATGTGGAGCATTCAGAAACCAGGAAAAACTTCAATTCGGTTTCGGCCCTATCCTTCTCCGTACAAATCGACGTCTAGAGATCGTGCAGGTTGGTGAGCGTGGGATCTAAGTTATGGTGGAGTTATGGAAGAGAGGTCAGGGTGGTCTTCGCTATTCTTAGTTCATACATTTTCAAGGTGCTTCAGTCGTGTGTACGTTTCACTTGTGATGGGCATCATGTATTGTTTCCATTATCCCCTTTTCTGTATGTGGAGTGCGTGTATGTATTAGGGCTTTTACGAACACAATAATGAGGATTTGGGACTTTGTATAACATACATATTAGTACACTTTTTGCAATTGCCAGTCGGCATTTCAGTGCCCAGAATCGCTTATTGATAAGCGGCATCTTATTAATACCCTCTTTTTCGCATACACAGAGCTGTTGCGGAGGCACGCAATGAGTATCATTAACATCACTAGTGCCTTGCTCCCCAACTCCCACCGCCGAGCAGCACCCTCGGACCCGGGTGTCGATCAGGCCCCGAGACCGGGTACTGTAGATCAGATTGGCACCAGGGTTAGCTATGACCTCAGATCGTCGATCTCGTATCACATCAGAGCCATTTATCTCAAACACCTCTTGGAAAGAAGATACATATAGACCACACATACTCATACAAACTATACATTTTCCATACCCCCCGTTTTACAGCTGCTCCAACAACCCAACAACCTCATCCCTAAGCTCCTCCACCCCAACATTCCTCACAACTCCCAACCTCCTACATTGCACCTCCACCTCCCTGCTCTCCTTCCAGCGCTTCCCCAGCACAACAACAACGGGATACCCAATCAAATCCGCATCCTTCATTTTCCAACCTAGGTTCTTGCCAGAGCGATCATCTAGCACTACGTCCACCGCCCCCTCCCCGGCTCGTCCAGCCAACTTGTCGTAAACATCGTGAATGTCTTTCTCCTCTGCTGCCGGGGAGCTCAGCACAACGACTTCGTAGGGAGCGATGGCGCGGGGCCAATTCAGTCCTTTGGCGTCAGATAGGAGTGATGCCACAGCGCCGATTATACGCGAGACGCCGATGCCGTGGCAGCCCATTTGTATGGGGGAGGAGAGGGATTGGTCGGGAAGCGCGACAACGGCGTTCAGGGGGGCACTGTAGCGTGTGCCGAGGTGGAAGGTGTGGCCTATTTCTATGGCTTTTTGGACATCAAGTTTGCCTTGGGTGCAGCGGGGGCAGGAGTCGCCGGGTTTGGTGATGGTGAGGTCGATTTTTGAGGAGTTAGAGGGTAGAGAGCAGTCGTGTAGATCGATTGTGTTGGTGGCTTTGGGGAGGAGGGTGGAGAGGGTTGATGATTCGATTCCGGTGTCCATGTCTAGGTCTGCGGGCAATGCTTTTTTCACGGCGTGGAAGTTGATGAATGTAGGGGCCGTGTCCCAGGATCCTGTGTCGCTCACTTCTAAATCGGATGGCCGTGGGATATGGATGTTGATTGCCGTCTTTTTGTCTGTGCTTATGCCTGTGAATGTGATCGCATCTTTGGTATTTGGCGTACTATCAGTCTTCTTCTCTACAAGCTCCTCATTTGCGACATAGTCGCACGAGTCACAAGACCATACGTTGTCCTCGCCTTTTGGTGACACAAAATGATACTCATGACTTAGTTTGCCTCCCATGTTTCCAGAGTCGGCATCTGCGACCAGGTAAGGAATCTTGAGTTCGTTGAAGAGGTTTTTGTATGCCTCTCTGACAGATTCGTAAGTCTTCAGAGCGGCTTCCGTCGAATGGTCGAATGTGTACAAATCCTTCATCATGAACTCTTTTGCTCGAAGTAATCCTTGTCTCGGCCGTCGTTCATCACGGTACTTGCGGCCTATCTGATACAGCCTCAATGGCAAATCCTTGTATGAATGTATCATACTGGCAACAAGAGATGTGATTTCTTCTTCATGGGTCGGAGAAAGTAAGAACCCAGATTCTTTCCTGTCTTTGATGCGAAGGAGTTCCGAGTTTACGGAATACCGGCCAGATTGCCGCCATAATGTTTCAGTGGTAATAGTAGAGAGTGAAAGTTTCGAGGCGCCTATAGAGCCCATATGCTTGTCTATAAGTGCCTCAAGTTTGTTTTGCACACGTAAACCTAGTGGTAGAAGATGGAAGACTCCTGAATGTGCCTACATGTGATAAGTTGGGGTTTGGTGATGGGGCGCGGGATGGCGGGATGTACCTGGCGAAGAAAGCCGCTGCGTATGAGCAACGAATGCGACTCATCTTATTATCTTGTCAATGGATGTTTGGATAAGATACGGAAGCGTGCTTGCCTTGCTCCCCATCTTGTGGTGCGATTCCGCCAGTTGGTGCCCAGAATTTGGATAGTCGATTTCTCGAATCGGTCTGGCGAAATGATCAGTTTGAACATATGTGAACCCTATGATACGCAAAATATCCTACAGCTATGTATCTAGTGTTTCGGCCGCTCTGAATTAGAGTTCTCGATACTCGGGGTTGCCGTAGAGTTTTCCACATTTGAGTCGCCATGCCCGCACCGCTGAGGAATTAGCCTAAGTGAAGGTGTAACAGAAATTGAAAATTCCTCGGTATGACTTTAGACACTAGAAGTACAGTAAGTTTGAATGTACTTCAAAGACAACCTGCGACTGCTATGAGCCGCCGTCGTGAGATGCCAAGCACGGACCACCTCCGAACCTGAAGGCATGGAAATATTTGGACAAACAACTCGACGTCCATTGCGACACGACCACAGCCCATGTAAGTACTGAGCCCCGCCTATAGAGACAATATCTACCCCGACAAACATTAACAATACCAGAATGCCTCCACGGATACGTATACGGCCACGGGCCCTCTGCGCCTGCACCTCACGCCCCAACCACATCACCTCTCTTTCCGCAATCGCAACCTACGCCTCGGTTGCCGCAGCCTCAGCAACTACCCCCGCCCCGCCAATCCAGCAGACATACAAAGCCACAGCGCCAGTGCTACGGTACCCGCCCACTCAGCCACCCTCTCACAAGCCGCCAGAGGTCCGCAAGACACAATTGCACCGACAATACCAATCGCTACTCAAGTCGTCACCCTTGATCCTAATTTTCCAACACAACAATGTCAAGGCTGTGGAATGGATGAGCATACGACGGGAGCTCGCCATTGCGCTGAGGAAGCTAGATGCGCAGCGAGCAGCCAATGGCAAGGAAACGCTGGCCGACGAAATCAAGATGCAAGTCGTACAAACCAACATCTTCGCAAGCGCATTGAGGGTCGTTGAGTTCTTCCACCCAGAGGAAGCCACTCTGGACCACGCACAGCATCCCACCGACCCCCGCACAGCGACCAGCGCGCAGATACCGCAAACCAGCAACCAAGCCGACGACGAGCGCTTCACACACGGCCTGTCAAGACGAGCCCACGAGATTGCAAACAATCGTAAACTAAAGCTAGAACTGGAACCTCTCCTCGCCGGCCCCATCGCCGTTGTAGCCTTCCCCGCCGTAACACCCGAATATCTGAAAGCGGTCCTCTCCATCCTCTCCCCCTCCAAACCCGACTTCCCCTCCCCAAGCCGCAAGGCAAACCCAGACTACTACGAGCCCGCAGTGCAGGCTGGATTGCAGAAGCTAATGCTGCTGGGCGCACGAGTCGAGGGCAAGGTGTTTGATGTCGAGGGTGCCAAGTGGGTTGGCGGTATCGGCGGTGGCCTTGACGGTCTCAGGGCACAGCTGGTCCACATGCTGCAGGGTATTGGGGGTAGTCTCACCAATGCGCTTGAGGGCGCGAGTAAGAGTCTCTACTTTACTGTTGAGGCGAGACGGATGGACATGGAGGAAAAGCAGAAGGGGCCCGAGGAGAAGAAGGAGTAGCGTAGCACTTTTACGCTGTACATGTATGCTTGGTCCGAAATGTAGGAATACTTTTTTTGTACAGAACGGACGTTTTGAATCGCATCTACATTTGCTATTGCGTGAACATTTTGTTTAGGAATCGTTCTCGTAACGTTCATATCACATGTACTACTTTTTTTTCACTAGTCATCTTGCTGCTGCTGCTGCACCACACACGCGTGACGGGTACCTGAATCTTGTACCGCATTCATCTTTCCTTTTCCCTTTTGTTCCCGTCGCATTCCGCTCCGCAAGAAAAAAAAACAAAGAAAGAACTGTTTTCCCAAGAAGAAAAGAAGAATAAAGCGAACAATGTGACTGGTCCTTTGGAAACCCACAGCATCCATGCAAGCAGAACATACCAAGCCCGCTTCAAACACGTTGAGGTTTTGTTTTTCCCTCTCTTTCCTTTACTCTTCATTCTTTTCACGGGTTTTAAGATGAACAGATCTTTTTTTTTTACTTTAGTTTGATATCATTTTTCTAAAAACTAGGATATAAGGAAAGGCACATTAGAACAAAACAAACAGTTGTTTGTTTAATTTGCTTTGCCGTGACATTTCCCAAGGGTATCATGAGGGTATGGAAAAAAAGGTTGTGTTACTTTCCCCTTTTTTTCCTTTTCCCAAAATATGCACAATGTCGAAGTAGGTTATTTGGTGGTGTTGTGGGTGTAAAAAACCGCCCCTTTGGCTTGTCCTGCGTCGGAGGAAAGGAAAAAAACCCTGAATAGGTGGTTTTGCCGGGGGTAGGTGGGTAAGGAAAGCGGAAAACAGTGAGCGGGAGGGAGGGAAATAAAAGGGGGTAAGAAGGGGAAATGATGAAGCAGTTTCCCTCACCCCTGTCTCCCTTCCCGCTGATAAAACAAAAAGCTTTCCCATACGTACACACTCTCGCACACACGCACGCGCACGCGTAGCAAACAAAAAGACACAAAAAGCAAGCAAAAAGGAAGACCAAACTAGACTCAAAGTCGACATCCTGGCGCCCCAATCTGGTTCTCCCCCTCCCATGTATGAAATGTAAAGTAGGTATCGGAATATCATGATCGTCATACCGTTTGCTTCGCCTCGTTCGATCGATCGTTTTTTCGCTGCGCATTATGCCAATAGGAAATGGTGGGTTGTTGTTGTTGTGATGTTTGGTTGTTATTGTTGGTGTATAGGGGTGCTGGTACCGGTGTTGGTGATAGTGATGATGATGATGATGATGATGTGAATGATAGACGGTTTCTCCCGCCTGCTGCACAACCCTCGATATCACCCCTGCTGCTTTCGTAAACCCGAAATTTTCCTGTAAAACGCCGATTATGGAGAGAGCCGGAAACCCCCGATGCTGTGTAAACTGATGAGTGCGAAAGAAAATGTCGACGCTACTATCGTCGTGCGCCGCCTACTTCCACCGAATGTGACGTTCGCTCGAATTGCAGCTTCCGCCTCTTATTCGCCAGGCTCCCTCCTGGTGTGTCTTCGCCTCCGGTTGAGTCTGCATAGTCGTCTCCAAATCCTTCGCCGTATCCTTGGAATGCAGCGTCGGTATATGCACGCTTCGATCCTGATCGTTCTGGCCTGACTAGACCCCTATTAATGTGATTATTGGGTGTTGGCGCAGACGATGTGTATGGTGTCGTTCGCTGTGGTGGTGCATCCTGAGATTTTGGCTTGACTGTGTCGTCAGTGCCCAGATATGCCTTGTACTTGGCAGCATCTGCGTTGGGAAGAGGTCCAGGACCCATGCCTGCAAACGCGCCGTCGAGCAATTGGCTGAAATCCGGGGTGAGACCTGTGCCGTCTGGCGTCAGGGCGGTTTTGTCGGCCTCTCGGTTCTGGACGTGGTTGGGCAACCAAATCTCTTCTGGGAGCATCAACAGATCGCGAAAAACGCCATCCATTTTTGTTGCTTTTGGCTTGCCGGCAATCTGCATCTGCTTGATGTGACCCTCGTAGGACTTGCGAAGCTTGTTAATCTTCTCGCCTGTTACCGGGTCATTGCGGGCTACGGAGCTGGCGAGTGGCTCGAGCCTGTACAGACGGATCAGATTTTGCGAGGCGTGCGGCCTCGACTTTTCGACCCGGTCTGTGTTAAGTTTGAATAATTGGGAGCCGCTGATTCCTTGGGCTGCCTTGAGTCGGCCATCGGGCGTGTAGGGTGACTGGGCTTGCCGGTTGTGGTTGGACAGCCTGTGATAGCGCGAACGAAGAGTTTCATCGTCTGCACTCTCTTCCATCGTCGCATCGCCGTCGCTATCTACATTGGCGCTGGACAAGAAGCCGGCAGTGCTCGCCGGGGTGGGAAAGGGGTGCAGGCTGGATGCCGATGCGGCCGACTGGGAAAGCGAGTGGGCCATGGGGACTGAGGATTGCGGGGAGCGGTCCGACGACGTCGTGGTGTTTGTCGTGGAAAAGCCTCCATTGGATTGCGAATTCATCGAGGAGTAAGGTGGTGAGGTGGGTGTGCGCGGATGGGGGAGCGTCTTTGTCGTCTGGCCGCTCGCCTTGGCAGCGACGTCAAAGGGCGGGCTGGCGGGTGAGAATCTTCCGATCGAGTCCAGGCGTTGGCGTTTGGCGCTGTGATCCGACATAGAGGCCGCTTCACGGGGGTCGGGCGTGGAACGAGGGCTCGGCAGCGCAGGCGGGCGGCAGAGAGGGTGCGCGGGTGAAGGAGAGCGAGAGTGAAGGCGGGAGGTCGGGCTGGTTGAAAGCGCTTGGCGGCCTCTGCGCGGGTCGACCGCGGCAGCAAGGGAGGGCGCTCTACTCAGTAAAGCGCATGCGAGGGCGGGGACGGCAGCGATGGGCGAGGGATGGCGGCGATGTGCAGGGCGTGATGGAGCTCGGGGTGTTGGCGGTGGTGGTGGCGGTGGGTCAAGGAGGGTCGTTGGTCGGCGGGAGATGTGAAGATGCGAAGGAGACGATGGGGTGCACCGGCGGTTTGGGCTGAGCGCTGCGCTGTGAACAGTCACGTGACCGCCCACGCCCGGTTCACGCGGCCGCGATCCAAAACCGCGTCCAGGTGCTAGGGTGTGTCACCCTCCCATCGCCCGTTTGCGAAACACTTGGATCCAGGCACAGGCACAGGCTTACAACTCCATGTCGCGGCTGTAGCTGCTGCTGCTGCTTGCACTTGTGTGCTGCTCTTCCAACATGCACGACAATCAGCCGCGTGCTCAAGGCTCTGGCCCGGCCCCCCCAGCAAATGCACATGCTGCTGCGCAAACCTCCCGCCCCGGGGCTGCCAATCCGCCCGCGCCTAGCAACGTGCCCAAGATCCAGCAGCCGAAGCCCCAGGCACTGCCCTCACGATCTGCGCCCAGCTCCATCTTGGTCTCGCCCCGCCAAAAGGGCAATCCCATCCTGAACAATGTGCGCGCCGTTGCCTGGGAGTATTCCGACATCGCCCCCGACTATGTCGTCGGCGCCACTACATGTGCCCTGTTCCTGTCCCTAAAGTACCACCGCCTGCATCCCGAGTACATCTACAACCGCATCCGTGATCTCAAGGGCCAGTACACGCTGCGCATCCTGCTGACCATGGTCGACATTGAAAACCATGAAGACCCCCTGCGAGAGCTGTCAAAGACGTCGCTGGTCAACAACGTCACCGTCATGCTGTGCTGGAGCGCCCAAGAGGCCGGCCGCTATCTCGAGCTCTTCAAGACGTTTGAGAATGCAGCCCCGACCAGTATCCGCGCTCAGCAGGCAGGCTCCTACGCTGAGAACATGGTCGACTTCATCACTGTGCCCCGCAGCATCAACAGAACAGACGCTGTAGGTCTAGTCTCCAACTTTGGAAGCATCCGCACTGCAATCAACGCTGCTCCAGAGGAAATCGGCTTGATTGCTGGCTGGGGTGACAAGAAAGTCCAGCGATGGTGCAATGCCGTCCGAGAACCGTTTAGGGTGCACAAGGCTGCAAGGCGGGGCGGCCTTGTCCAGCAAGCCAACGATCCACCAACCATGACAGAAGGTGAGGGCCAGGCACAAAGTGTGGCGGTTGCTGGTGACACAGCACGTCAACGGGTCGACGACGCCGTACCTCTTGCAAGGGAGCTGGAGAGATCTGCTCCTTTTGCAACGTCTGCATCGGATGCCGACAAGCGGCCTGATCACCGTCTTGCCGAAGATATAAATGAAGACGACGAGCAGGCAATGCGCGAGCTAGAGATGGGTCAGGTTTCAAAGGCCAACCAGGCCCAACCAGCAGTGGCAACGCCAGCGAAGAGAAAAGAACCTGATGATGATATGAGCGAGGGCGTGATGGCAGCGTTGAACAAGTTAAGGAAACAGTAAACCAGGCTACAACTTAATATATAGCACGAGACGAGAACGTTATAAAATCCAAGCATCCACACAGTATGCGAGCCTTGGACTAATGCAGATACATCTGACGTGCATCTCTTCTGCCTTGTAAAGGCGGGTCGCGGCTATCACATCCATGGTCATGAGCGTTTATATCCAGTGGAGATGGGTCCGGGGTATCCGGATCCACGGATGTGGGCTCTTGAGTCAGGGATGGGCTGTAAATGCCTCTTTCCTGGCCCAAAGCCTAGTAGTGCATGGCTAGACCTAGTTTACCGCATCCACACCCCTATATGTGCAGTAAACATTTATGCTGTCTTTATCTTGTTGTTTTTTTTCTTGCCATGTTTCTGCTAGCGTCTTTAGCGTAGTACTAACTCGAATGCATACTATCTTGATCGGTTGTAAAGAGTCTTGAATAGGATGGCGCAGCACAACCAGAAGAGAGCTGTCAAAAACAGCAAGTGCTAAACTTCAAGAAAACAGCATTTTCATTCTGTCATATACTACCAAGAGAAACTCAACATCCCAGTATCCTATTGTCCTAACATGTGGGGCTTGAACTGTGGATCACTCTTTGGAAGTCCAACCGAACTATCCTACAATCACTAGCATAAACTCTAGAAAACATACAGAGCATATTGCCCACCATGTAATCGGCATACTAACGCATTATTTCTGTTGGAAAGAAATCTCTTGACTCTGGGGTTTATCTATCATCATGAATCATATTTACGAATCCCAAATCGCTTTTGAACGTCTCAACATCAGTATTGAAGCTATAGATACCATTCAACTCTTGTGACGGATGGAAATTCAAACTTTGTACGTGCATTCAACAACTTAGCAGACTGTTCACTATACTGGGACATTACATATTGCGAGTAACACTACTTACCCCTCGGTCAACGAGGTACATGGTTAGCACAACAACAGAAAAAATATACACGGCCCACCATATTTAATCCAGCTCGTCTCTTACTCCAGCTTCTCATGAGACGCTCCAGAACTCTCCACCTCTCCATCCCATGTTGTATCCGTCTCAACACAGGCACTTCCCTCTTCTTCTTCTTCTTCTTCTTCTTCTTCTTCTTCTTCTTCTTCTTCTTCTTCCCCCTCCTCATCTCCATCCCCACCCTCTTCCCCCCTACACCACACCCCCCTCTCCACCTCCCCAAACCCCAGATCAACCAACGAAACCTCTCTCCTTCCCTCCCCTTCATCCCTACCCACCCAATTCCAATCCACCCTCCCCACCTCCGCCTCACTATCCTTAATCCGCTGTAGCCTCAACACATCCCACCCCCGCGCCCCTACTGCACAGTAATCTTCCATTCTGTCGTCTCTGTGGTGTACTCGTGCCGCGGGTGGCTGTGGCAGGTGAGACAGGATGTCTTCGGAGGAGAAGGAGCAGCAGGAGTAGGGGCAGGAAGAGGGGGAGAAGAAGAAACGCCTGTTGGGGATGCGGAGGGGGCGGGTGGAGGTGGGGTTCCAGTATGAGTTTATGTGGTGGGTGGCGGTGTCGCTGCCGTTGGGGATTAGGGAAGAGGAGATGGTTATGGCTGATGAGCATTTGCTGAGGGGAGAGGGTGGTTTGTTTTGAGTTGCGGGGTTGATGATGATGGCGATGGGCTCGATGATGGCAACTGTGGGTTTGACGATAGTGGGTGGTTTGATAATGGCAGTTGTAGGTTTGATGGTCGTAGTTGTGGTGGACGTTTTGACTGGTGGTCGGTATGGTTTGAGTAGTAGGCTAGGGAAACAGTAGAAGATGAATGCCATCTTTTGGAGTTGTTCATTACATAGTTTACTTTAGACACCCTTTCATATATATATATATATATATATAGTAGATTAGTTTCGTAAACCACGTTGAAAATTAAGTGTCATGACAGCTAGAACCATGGTTTGGCTGCAAAAAGGTCGTAATGCAGCATGGCAGATTGGCTACACTCTGGTACGAGAGTATCCGTCCACGAATTCCACATCACCCGTATCAAACCCTCTCAACCTTATCCGTCGCCCCCTTCTCCCTCACACTCTCACCACCCACGCTCTCTCCCCTTTGCTCCCCTTTCTCAATTGCAGCACCCTCCGTCACGTGGTTCTTTCCGCCAAACAGAGCATCCATCTCCTCTAGACTAACCTGCTTCGTCTCTGGAACAAAAAACCACGTAAAAGCCGCAAGCAGGATGTTGATAGCAGCAAACATGTAGAAGGCGTAAAACCCTTCATTTTTGAGGAAAATGGGGAAGAACTGCTGGACAATGGAGTTGACGACGTTTTGGGTTTGCGAACACATGCCTACGGCTTGCGCGCGTACGTTCATGGAGAAGATTTCCGCCGTGAAGATCCAGACGGTTGCGCCCCAGGAGGGTTTGTCTGTTGTATGTCGTTAGCGTGAGCTGGGGTTTGAAGGGAAGGTGAAGAAGAAACTTACAGAAAAAGGCGAACAGGAACATGATAAAGACGATGGATATGCCGACGGGCTGCGACTTTGCGCCATTGGGGAGTGAGGATGTTTGAGTTTCGACGGTCGCGGCGATCAACATGCATAGGCCCATGCCGATGCCGCCGACGATGAAGAGAAACTTGCGGCCGAAGCGGTCGACGGTCCATGTTGCGTTGAGAGTGAAGAGAATGCTGAAGGTGGCGTTGAGCGCGTTGATGAGCGAGATTGTGTCGGCGCTTTCGAAAACCTTCTTGTAAATGATTGAACTGTAGGTGTTGAGAGTGCCTTGACCGGTGATTTGCTGGCCGCCGTTTATAATCATGGCAATGTACATGCGTTTCCTGATTGACTTGTCTTTCCAGAGAGCAGAATATCCGGAGGAGATAGCTTCGGCTTCGAATTCAATGGCCTCTCGGATAGTCGTGATTTCGACTTCGACCTCCTCTTCGGTGTCGCGGATACGACGGAGCGACTGACGAGCTTTCTCGTAGTCACGACTCTTCTGCACGTACCAGCGAGGCGACTCTGGTATGAAGAAGACTTGAGACAGAATGACGATGGGAACGAGCATCTGGAAGATGACAACAATCTTCCAGTCCCACTCACCAAGCTTCTTCGGATTCTTGGATGTGCCGAAGCTGATCCAGTAGGCGATGAAAGAGCCAACCGAGTAGAACATTTGCCAGAAAGACATGATCTTGCCTCGAATCTCAGACGGGCATACTTCGGAAATAAAGATGGATCCAGCTGTGAGCGCAAGACCTTGCCCGATACCGATGAGGACGCGACCGACGATGAAGACACCAATTTGACCACGGGGCGCGAATGTTTGCATCAACGTTGCGATAATAACACATATCGCGCCAGCAGCCATACCCGCTCTTCGACCAGCAAAATCTGCAAGAGGACCACCCTATATACAACGTTAGTATACTTGATGTTATTCCTCCCTCAATAATGACTCACCATGAAGAATCCTGCTACAACAGCTCCGACGGTATAGGAGGTGTTAATGGCCCCAATGATATTAGGCCCCGGCTTATTGAAATAAGCCTTCCAATGATCGGAATTCTGAAGCGCGTTGAAAACAGATGCATCGTAACCGTACAGAACCATGCATGATGCTGCAACAAGTGAGATGTACCAGTTGTACGCTCTCGTTGCGGAAACCATCTTGACGTTGACTCTTTGGATCTACCTCTCGAAACACCGATACAAACAAAGCAATCAAAAAGGGTGTGTCCGGCTCGAATTCCGCAGAGTATACAGCGGTTGATCCGTGGAGCTCAGGACTGGAGAGCAAACAGGGGAGACTGGGTTGGCCATATATACATACATGGCACGTTCGTATCTGCCCATAGGGGAATAGCTATCATTGAATATAGCAAGGCCCATATAACCCCATGGGCTCGGAACGCTAATACCAACATACCTAATCTTCGTAGTCTGCCGCTACTCCGGGAACCCCATATCACCACGAATCATCTCGCTTGGAAAGCTCCAACAACTTGCTCTAGTGCCAAAAAGCGTCTACGCTCAGCACCTTCAACCCCATCATACCGTATTTAGTGAATCCTGGGGGAACCTCGAGGCTCGATGGTTTGCTCGTAATAAGGAGACGCTATCCACTTTGGTGGATTGGGGTGTCATCGCAGGTGATTTTCCACGAATAGGCACTATGTGACAAAGCGTTGAAGCGCCGTTGTTTTCGGGGGTTTGCAGCTCGGGTTAGAGCCGACAGAGCGATCAGTGCTTGCTCTAACCTCGGAGTGGTCAAGATTGTCGGCTGCTTAGTCGCAAATGAGTAGTAGTTGCTTCACCGCAAGCAGGCCAAGCCCAGACTCAAGGAAATTACAGCTGCGGGAAGCTTTTGGCTCCAGGCTGGGCTGTCTTATTTTCACGTCAACAGAACTTCGGGTTTGCCAGCATGGTGCTTGTCAGTGTCTGAGTGTAGCGCCCCTTAAGCGTTACCATCTCGGTTGTTGCAAAGTCGCTCGATGGAATCATAGACGTGACAATAGGGCTGAATTGTAAAAGTTCCATGATTCATGCCAGAGGGTATGGCTTGATAGCCAGCGGTGGAGCCGTGTGGGCTGGCGTGATGGAGCGCGCTGACCCCCGTGCTGAAACCAGCAAGTGCCAATACATACGTCGCCTATTGGTCCTCGGAGAGATCAAAGGAACACGAGCACAGTTACACATATAGGATTGAGTGGCTGGTTGAATACACGTATTGCGCAACATGTTGTAGTCTACCCAAGATATGTACTAGCAACCACTAAAGTCGGTCAGCGCTAAGATGGATTCATCCCAGGTAGATAGTAAAATCACGTGATGATGAGCCACGAAACGGTGGCGGTGCAGACCATCCCACTTTTCCTAGGCTTCGAGACCGAGACCCTTTCTCACCGCCCGCAACCAACCCTCGTTTTCCACGCCTCCAGTGAATACTTTCCACTCCAACCTTTCGCCCCAAAAACCTATCTCGTAACACAACCCACACTCAAAATGCCTTCAGGACAAGGAGGTGCGTAAACACTATAGCCTCTGCGCACAAACGATGCGGGGTCAAGCAAACGACGTTATATTTCCCGCACAAGGCTAACGCGGCAACTCAGCGGGCACCAACCCCATTCACAACAAGAAGCCCAAGAAGAAGGCTGCCGAGCTCGACGAGGACGACATTGCATACAAGAACAAGCTCGCTGCCGGTACGTTTCCCACCACTCATCCCCTTCCACCCGGGCTTTCGCTTTCTGAAGCGCCACCACCACACGCACAAACCAGCCTATGGACAAGTTGACTGACAATATACACAGACAAGAAGGCGCGCGAGGAACTTGCCAAGACCGTCGGAAAGGGCAAGGGTCCCCTTAACACGGGATCCCAGGGCATCAAGAAGTCTGGCAAGAAATAAGCGCTGGACTCGAACCTGACGAGCGAGAAGACGGACGATATGGGCATGACGATTTGATATGAGATACCACGGACTAAGAGCCGCTTGTTGGCGAGGGCGGGTTGATATACACGACCATAAATGCATGGGATAAGCCACCAGTGTCTCTTTTGTGACTTAAAGGGCCATGTTTGGTTGAACTGCACGACTGCCGTTTCTGTCGTGACGGCATGCGGCCGCACTGGGACGCTAATGTTGGTTTCCGCTAGACGTGGTCGGATCCAGTGTTGAGAAGACATTTTGTGCAGACTAGTCCTCGATCAATCAAGTCGGTTACATTATTCCCTACGCTATTCTTGCGACACGTCTTAGTTCCAACGACGTCTTTAAGTATTTAGACTCAACCGGTGATTTTATACCCCAAGTTTTCTTAACCACCCCATTTTTCCTTCCTCTTCTCCATCTTCCAATAATCTGCCCCTCCCATGCAACACTCCAATATACACCTCTTTCTTCCAGCAGGTCGAGATCTCTTCCAGCAGCAAGCATACACTATTCGCGCCTTATTTATGCGCCTGTATATGCGAATACCTAGGGAGACACCAAGTGGTTTGCCTATTGGCAGCTACGAGCCAGTGTTCCAAGGCCAAGGCGAGAAGACAATATATTATCTTCACTAGGAAGGTAGTGAATCGTCGATGAGATAGGATACAAGTGTCAGTGGGGTAGTAGAGTGATGAGGATTGTCAGGCCGACTTGGCCATCATCATGACGAGTCATGGTGTTGCATAGATAGCTAAAAAAGGTTGAATAGTACTACGGCATGTTCCTGTGGAAAGTGGGTTTGTTGGACCTACAGTGCACCTAGGTGTACTACATGTCAGTGATGTCAGTGCAGGCAGTGGCACATTAACAACAACAACAACAACACCATCACAGCGAGGCGCAAACCGATACGCCGGTTGAAATTATTGGAGTAGAGAGTAAAATAAATAATATTCGATACATGTTTCTAAGCATGTACGTATATTGTCAGAATCATAAAACTTTTAACCTCTTCATCTGTCCAGAGAGGAAAAATAAGAGGTGCGAAAGAAAAAAAATCCCCCGTCTCAATTTCCTTTCCTCGGCACCGTCCTTCCTATTGACTTTCCCTAATCAGGACAACGATGCTTAGCCGAGTACACTAATTACCAGGCTTCTCTCCTTCTCTCTCTCTCTCTTTTTCAGATAAGGAAAGTTGCCTCAATTGGAGCGGGGTTGAAGGATGTAGTACAGGTGGGGCAAGGTAGCCGACATTGCGGGAGTGGGCGGGATTGATGACGTTTCCCGGACATTTAATGCTGGCTAGAGCCAACAGGGGGGAGGAGAGATGACGAGGCCATGGTACGTCAGGTGTGCGACTAGTATTTCTCTTCCAACACTTGGTCGAGATCATGTGGCGCATACAGAATCGGCATGGTGGTATAACCATTGTTGGTTGCATGATGGGTTGTGTGAAGGGCAGGCGTTGATGCAAAGGGGAACGCATTAGGCTGTGCTCACTCATGTTGAGCGACGACCTTTTTTGCCGCCGATGGTGAAGGCCCGTTTGATTTTGCTTTCGGTGGTAGGCGAGGTTGGCATCATGGCGGCAGAGGTGCTTCCTGAGCGGCGAGGTTCCGAACTTCCTGATGATTGGGATGAAGACCTCTTACGGCGTTCCTCTGCGAGGATGTCGTCCAGGGAAACGTTAAGGTGTGGGTGGCTGATGGAGACCTCTTCGAGGTTCTCGACGAAGCGGGATGCCATTGTAGTAGTGGTGGGAATTGGTGGTTGGATAGTATAGTGGTATGTGTGGGTAGTTGTGAAGAAGGGTAGCGTGTATGTGTGTGGGGGGGAGGCGTGTGGATCTATATAGGTCTACTTGAATGGTATAGACTTGGATTGATAATAAGATCCACCTCCCAAAGGAAACAGGGTCCACGCGTTTACCACTAAGGAACGAGGGGGGGAGGACGTTCCAGAATCCAGGGTGGCGTTGTCTGGGATTGATTGACCAAGATGGTAAGTAGGAACGAGGAACGGAAATGAAGTGTGGCAGCGGAGGGATATGACGAGCGAATGGGTGAAAGGGTGGTAAGACGAATTGAGCCGAGGAGCAGGGACAAAGGCACGATATGCAAGGGCAGCGAAAGGTTTTTAAGGTCACCCAGGGCGCGAGTGAAATAAGATGAGCAGGTGGGCACCGGCTGTAGAGCGAAAGTGTGTGTGTGTGTGTAACGGCAGGGGTCGGGGATTCAGGGTCTTGCCGATCGCGATGGTCTCGATGCATAATAACGGCGGGGCTAACGACTGGGAATGACGTGCCGGCGTGTTCTGGACGGCCTGTCGACGGGCGAGCCAACTGGCATTAGAGCGGGCGTAACCGCGTCCAACCAACCTGTGTGTCACTGACTATTGCCGGCGACGAAGGCGCTGAAAATAGCAATCTCGCCAGAAATACGGCGTTTGTGAGGGTTGCCCAAGCCATCTGGATGCGCCATAGACCACACACGTCGTCTCGGCAGCCGTGGGCAGCACCACAAGTCGCCTCGTCGCCTCCTGTTGCCTGGCGGTGTGCACCCAACAGCGATAAGCCCTGGAGCCTCTTGAGCAGCACGCGCAATCCTTTTGCCACAAGTTCGTCCTCCAGCTGTCCTTTCTGTGCGGTGCAGGTGTAGTGTGCAATATCGAGTCCGACTAAACGAGCAGCAAGAAGGCTAATCTGTGAGCAAGTGCGTGCAGATCAATACGATCCCCAGGCAGCGTACGAAACAAGCCCGAGGCCAAAAAGTGTATTCCGATCGAAGCGCGCGTTGGTGGTGTTGTAATCCTCGCCTGCCCGCAGACGGCATTCCGCATGTCGTGTCGTGTATCCGTCTAGCCCCGCTGCGGGCGGTGGGCACACTGGGCACACACCACTGGGCACGAGGGCAAGGACATGGCTATCTGTGTGTCTTCCCCGGTCTGTGACGTAGGACGAGGGCGCAACCCAATATCACAGCCACCGTCTTATTATTAATTATCGTCGTCCGGAAGCGGCCTGATACGCGCAACGACTTCGGATCCTGTTGCCGGCGAACGGCTGCAAAAAGGCCAATCGCTTTTTTTCTTCTTCAGCGACGGAAGTTTGCACCGGCTGCGGTCCCGCAAACCGTCACCTCTTCTACATCATCGTGCAGGGACTGCCGTCAAACCGTCGTGCGCTTAGACCCTGATGCACCTCTGACTCTGCCTCGGACTCTGTAACAACCGTTAGTCTCCAGACTTTTGCGCCATCCATCACGTCAACTGCCTCCCATAGGGCCAGTGTTTGCATCTCACCACGCCCACTACCTTACGCTAGCCCCATCCGTCCATGAATATACTCTGCTTTCAGCTAGTCTCTGGGGCATTCAATATAACCATCAATGTACATCATCATCATGAGCATGTGCTCCCCTGTGCCTGCCTGCGACTCTGGTCGCTAAAATCGCTAATGCGGGGACTGCATATGCCGGTGCTGCTCACGCTGACCACGAGATACAAATCCCCACAAAGCTATACAAGGCCTGGCAAAATACCAACCTCCTCATGCGCTGCCAGCTCAGCCCTCGTCTGCTTCTGCAGCGCAGAGCAGCCCAATCTGCCATCACGTGGAGCCGGATTCATCTGTCTTCTGTCTGGCACCTGGTCATTCATCACCACCCTCCCCGACCACGTCCGCCTCTTCCGCCCCGTCCACGCCCTCCATGCCCTTGGCCGCGCCCACCGCCTCTCTTTCCCCAGCCGCCTCTGCCCCCACCTCGACCTCCCCCTCGGTTTGCCCGCTGCTGTTCCGGCCTTGGTCCGCATGATGCTAACTGTGCCCGCTCTTCCTCCGACGCATGAAACACGTTTGGAATCTGCACTAGATCGCAAAATCCTTGGGTGTGCGGGTTGGTGTACTCACTCGGTTGCTCTTGCACATGAATGCCCAATGCTGCATCATACGTAGGCGCCGTTTGCGCAAAATCTTCCGGCACCATCATCTTGTTGGCCTTGACTATGTTCTCCTCAACCCACTCCATTTCCTTCTCGATAAGTGGGCGGTAGAAAGCATCTCCTTTGTCTCGAGGTATTTGGAAATGCGGGTCGCCAATCTGCACATGATCAGCAAACACGCGGGTGATAGCTAGCCATTCCTTGTCATATTGCAACCCCAACGGACGCTGTATCTCGCCAGGCGCGTGTGGCTCAATCTCCAGTAGCTGTAAGAAGTTCCGTTTAGGCAAACACTTGTCCAGTGCAAGAAATTTGGTAGTCTTATTCGTGATGTCCTTGGGGAAGGGTAACGTCGGTGCGGGCTCGAGTTTCGGACGCGAAAAAGATTCCGGCAAGAGACTTCGAATGTCCTGCGGTATCTCGGACTCACTTTCGGTCGTCGTAGGCTTGCCTTTCTCCTTGTCCTCCACGGCGGGTGCGGCGGGAGCTTCGTCTTCATCCATGTCAAGGTCGATTTCGGCCTCATTTTTTGGTGCTGACACATCCGCATCTGTCACATCGAGATCAATCTCACTTGCGTTCACTACTGCTGCAGGCGCACCTTCTGTATGGTTGCTTTGCTCTGTGTTGTTCGAAATGTCCACGTGCTCCCATATAGCAGGAAACTTGGCATGCATGTGAGCACTAAACCAGTGAGGTGGTCGTAAGCGTTCCAAAACTGTTTTGGCAGCGACACTTCCCAAGGTACCGTCTTTTGCCTCTTGTTCAAAGTCGGGCTTCCATTTGAAAAGTTGTCGGAAGTTGCCTTTCCATTCCATGCCCCGTGGCCAGTCGTGGCTCAGTCCGATATCAACTTGCGTTCGTACTTGGAGAAGCTTGCGCACTTCAAGCTCCCGAACATGATAGATACTCTTCACCTCGTCGTTGTTATAAGGCAGGCGTTCGTAGTGAGGCTTCTTGTAGTTGTAACCTTTCCAGATACCGGACAGACCAGCGATACGCAGCGGACCTAGTCGTATCACATTGGCTGCACCCATGTAGTATATCTTTGGTGCAGCCCACCCGCCATAGAAGAGCTCCCACATGTAATTGCTCGCTTCGTGATTGCCCCCAATGAATATGGTGAGATATGGGGCGAGGCGTGCACCTGAGTAGTACTCATGGAAGTCGTGCATGGCGTAGTATTTCGAAGGCATTGATACTGCCTTGAGATCTGAGGCATTTCGAACAGCCTACAAAGTCGGTTACTGTAAGAGTACTGTGAGAAATATACGTACCTGAAAGTCTCCACCGATGATCAGAAGATCCACGTCAGGCCAGCCCTTGATCTCGCATGATTTCGCGACTGATGCATAGATCTCATGCAGCACTCCGTGACCGCAACCCTCGACTGCTATCCGCAGCCCATGCTGTTCGATTAATTCAGGCGCTGCCATGATTGGCGTCTCGAAGCAGCAGGTTTCAGTGAGCCTGCAACCGAAATACTGACTGAAGGTTTGTGTAGTACATAGGCGCAAACAGTCGCGGTCTAGGCTAACAACAAACACTCCAATCCAGAAAGTTGTCAAGCGAGAGGGGACCTGCAGCTGCTAGCGTCGGAGATCGGCGTTATGATAAGAAGCAGGCACGTGCTGATATCGGACCTGCAGAAAGCTTTCCAAGCTCTGCACCGAGATCACACAGGTGCTCCAACAATGGCACCAAACGATGAAATCAATGCGCGGGCGAGATTCCTCCAAGAGGCTGCTCAGCTCCTTGCCGTCTCTTCTCCAACGGCAGCAGCATTTATTGGGAGGGCACACCACAAGTTTGTCGAAGATGCTGAGATCGAAATTCCAAGTAAAGAAGCCGATGCCTATCGACGCAGCATTTGCAACGCTTGTGGAAACATCATGATTCCAGGATGGTCATGCAAAGTCTCAAGTCACCTTCCCGGTGAAGGCCCTTCAAGGAAAGACAACAAAGGATCCAAGAAGCTACCACGGTTAGAGAAAAGTATCCGCTATACTTGCTTGATGTGCCATCGGGAGACAGTTCAAGCACTTCGACACAAAGCGCGCAGAAAGAATAATAAATCAGCACCCGTACTAGATGCAGCGCCCATTCCAACATCAAAAACACCGGCAAAAGAAGTCGACAACGCGCCCAAGACACTGAATGCTAGCAGCAAGCAAAGACAAAAGGCACGCAAAGGTGGCTTGCAGGCAATGCTCGACAAAAAGAAGTCGCAGAACTCGGCCAGTGGCGGCCTCGACCTTATGGATTTTGCCATGTGAACTCTGTAGGGCTGAGTAACCGCACCTTGCTAGCTGCTAGGATGCGCCGCGGCTTAGCGAACCCCCGCTATGTGACGCGGGGCGATTCAAAAAAATTCCAGCACCTTCGTCATCGGGACTTGCATAGTCACCTCACATAAACCAGCATTCACTCTCTTTCACCTTATTCTGCGAAAAAAAAAATCAAATACCCCATCTCAACATGGCACAGCACAAAAGTCTCGCAAAGGACCTCTTTGAGGACATGGGCCGCAAGGTCGAGGAGGCCAGCGCCCAGCCAGACACTGAAGATGGCAGCAAAGTTGTCGATGAAATTGAAAGTTTGTGCATGAACTGCCATGAAAATGTAAGTGTAGCTAGCGACAAGATTTTCATCTGACCAACTAACACTCTTCAAGGGAACTACTCGTTTGCTCCTCACCAGGATACCCTTCTTCCGCGAGATCGTCCTCATGTCCTTCTCATGCCCGCACTGCCATTTCAAAAACTCCGAGGTCCAGCCCGCTGGTGAGATACAACAGAAAGGAGTGCGCTTCTCCCTCAAGGTCGACAGCGCCGACGACCTCAACCGACAGGTTATCAAGAGCGACACAGCGATCTTTCGAATCGAGGATATCGATCTAGAGATTCCTCCAGGAAGGGGGCAACTGACCAACGTTGAAGGAATTCTTACCATGGTCGCACAAGACTTGGAGCAAAAGCAGGATGAAAGAAAGGAAGTAGTACCGGAGATTTACGAGCAGCTACAGGGTGTGATCAACACGATCAAGCAAATGGCCAGCGGAGAGAAATTGCCGTTCAAGGTGACGGTTGACGACCCTGCTGGCAACTCATCGATTGAGCCTCCAAGTGTACTCGCCGCGGGCAAATATTCTCGAAATGAGTATGCGCGAACTGCAGCACAGAACGAAGCGCTAGGCCTTGGAGACACCAGCGGCGAGGCGCCTGCCACAGAGATTCGACCAGAGTACCACGCTTCGCAAATGTACCCTGAGATGCCTTCGGCTCATCAGCCCATGGTGAACAACGTGGACGATGATGACATTCTGGAGAACCAAGTTTACTCGTTCCCTGCCAGTTGTCCTGGATGCACCAAGCCATGCACTACCAACATGAAGATGGTCAATATTCCTCACTTCAAGCAAGTAGTCTTGATGAGCACCGTGTGCGACCATTGCGGATGTAGGTTGGAACCTAAGAGATGCGACATGATCATTCGCTAACGTGCAGTAGACCGCAGCAATGAAGTTAAGACTGGTGGTGAAGTTCCTGAGAAGGGCCGTCTTATCACTGTCGCAGTCAATAACAAAGAAGATCTGTCGCGAGATATCCTCAAGGCTGAGTCGTGCGCCATGTCCTGCCCTGAACTCAACCTCAGTGTTGAGCCCGGCACACTTGGTGGCCGATTCACAACTATCGAAGGTCTCCTTACCCAAGTACGCGACGACTTGAGATCTTCGATTTTCGATGCTGGCGATGGCGGTGATTCAATGAACACGGAGACAAAACAGAAGTGGAACACCTTCTTCAACAGTCTCTCGGCAGCCATCAACGGCGACGACAAGTTCACCATTATCCTTAAGGACCCTCTTGCCAGCAGCTATGTCCAGAGCTTCACCGCACCAGAGCCAGATCCGCAAATTAAGGTCGAGGACTACGAGCGGACAGAGGAAGAGGAGGAGGATCTGGGTCTCAAGGACATGAAGACAGAGGGTTACGAAGAGCATGCGGCGACGAACGGTGCGACCACCAATGGCGAGACTACCAATGGCGAGACTACCAATGGCGCATAAGGGTTCGATCAATTCCACGTGCTGTAGATTTCCTTGACTCTTGTTGCAATGGGTCGGCGCTTCTGAAGATACCAGGGCCTCGCCAGCCCCGATGAATACAAAAAAAGTTTCCAAATCCCTAGTTTGATGGCCGGTGGTTGTGTTTGTGCGATACTCGTAGTGAGTGATGTTATCATGTGTGATGTTTCCGTTGCCTGACTTGTTGCTCAGCCTGCCAGAGGATTGGCATGTATGGTGACATTCTTAATCTCAATCCTTTCCTGTGGACGCGACTTCTTGTCCACCCGCACCTGCTCTATATCATCCAAGACCTCCCAGCCCTCCAGAACCTTGCCAAACACGGTATTCTTCCCATCCAGATGCGGGGCAGGCGCAAAAGTGATGAAGAACTGAGAACCGTTGGAGTTGGGACCCTTGTTGGCCATACTCAAGATTCCTCTGGCATTGTGTCTCAGTGCTGGCCTGATTTCGTCTTCGAAGAGCTGGTTCGGTGTGTCGAAGATGGAGGTCGAAGTCTTGGACTTGGGATCGGAGGCGGGCGAGCCAGTCTGAACCATGAATGAGGGAATCATGCGGTGGAAAGGCGATCCATTGTAGAAGCCAGACGCGCAGAGAGCGAGAAAGTTCTCTGCAGTTTTGGGGACGGTTTCGCAGAAGATTTCGAGTTTGATGTCGCCTTTGGTAGTATGTAGCTTGGCGCGGTCAGAAGGTTGTGTTCCGGAAAAAAGCATCAGGAAGAGATTGGCTGGAACTTACGGTAACGGACATGGCGGTGGTGGTAGTCGTGGTGTTGGGCAGAGGAAAGGATTGCGCGTGCAGATGGGTAAGTAGGAGCAGACGCGGCGAGGTTGGAGAGCTTACCATCTCCACCCTCGCCGCGGCTAGAACATGGTGCGTCAGCCCCATCACTACGTACACTGTTGCAATCGCCCTGCATTCGCTATCATCGCCATTGCCCTAGCCTTCTCGTGCCCCTGGTATATGCCCTGGTCTGGTGCTCCACTCTGTCATTAGGCGCGCCAGCTCTCTAAGCTCCCACTCCAGCTCCGCTCAACACAGCCAGAGCCCTACCCAGTCTTGGGACATAGTAACCCACTACAGGCTCCAGCCTGCCCGCGCACCCGCTCGCTCCATCTCGTATATTCCTCGCCTCCTCGCCGGTCGGCCCGCTGCGCACCCTCGGGCTCCCCTGCCGCCCGTCCAGAGAGACCCCGCTGGTTCAAGATTCGAGGCGTGCGCCTTACATTGCCCTAACCCCACACTCCCGCGACCCTCAAGGCTGCCTACCAGTAGCTCCAGCACATCCTCCCGCACAGCTACTTGGTCGCCCACTTTACTGCACCCTCGAGCGACCATATTCAACGCGAGGCCTGGGTGCTCAAAGGCCACGGTCACGCTCATGCAGCGCCAGCTGCGGTCCCAGGCTTGCGCTGTGAGATTCAAACATGTCGGCCTTTGTGCGCGTCTCAGGACCGCCAAACAGTAACTTTCTGATCGGCTATCCTGGAATATCTGCTACACTTGTACGTGCTCTTAGCCTGTTCTCCTCGTCATTGGACATCTGGCACTCCAATTTGCCCACCTGGAGCCGCTGCCCGGCGCGCAGCCCTTTCGCAACACTACTTGGCTAATGCTGACACTTTTCAGCCCCGAATAGAAGGCAAAGTCGAGATCCGCCCACTCGTTGGTATCTCGGCGCCCGTCAATGTCTCGCTCGTTACCATTGCCCTACACCGTCGTGAGACGATACACCCCTCCGCCGATTCGGCCGCCAGGAAGCATTTGGCCGCCCCGCGCAAGGAAATTACTGATATCGTGGGCAAGGAAATGCTCCTATACCGATGCTCGCCTGGGAAAGAGTATGAAAGCGTATTGTGCATGGACCTGCCCTTCGTCATCTTTATACCATACGGACGCGGTGGCGAGGAAGTAGCGCGGAGAGTCCCGCCTGCAAGCTTACAGTTACCGAGTCGCACGGCCGAGACATTCTACGAACTCGTCGTGACGGTTCAGCAAGGACCGCAGGAGCAGAAAAAATACCCGTTCGCAGTACCAATCCAACGATATGATACCCTCTCCACATTTGGCATGTACAATCGACCAGAGAGCGCAGAACGAGTGACGGATCACCTGGTCACCCTTGGAATAAGTTTGCCGCGTTGGAGTTATGGCCCGCTCGATCCGGTTTCCGTGTACATCAAGCTGAGTCCAAACCCGGACTGGCTGAACAAGGCGAAAAAGGTTACAATACAAAAGATTACCGTCGGGATAGATGAGGAGATTATTTTCAATCACGAAGGAGACGAACCGACACGCAAGGTGAAGACACTCGTGAAAACAACACAGGCAGTCGGAGTCAAGATGCCT